GCTACTTGAAGGCCTGGCAGCGTCTGCCGAAAGCTTCACGACAGTTGAAAATGTCAACGAACTCACGGAGCTGATCAACCGCGAATTCGAGCGCGCCCGGGGCGAACAGGATGCGACTAAACTAGAGAAGGAAGAGCGTGATGCTGCTGCTATGGTCAAGCATGACGAGACCCGAGCCGCCATTATCGTCGAACTGGGCTCGAAGATTGACGAAAAGCTCGGTGAGATCGTGGCCAAATATGACGAGGTCCAGTCATCTATCCAGACTGCTATCGACTCCAAGTTCTCTGAGAGCGCAGAACGTGATAATGCGCATCTTGAGGCTGTTACCAATACCAAGGCTCTGGCCGAAGACATCAGGCTTGTCATTGGGTCCATGGGCAACAGCGTTAACGAGGCTTGTGAGCGCATGTGCACCGATGCGCAAACCTTCTTTGAAAAGGTCGATGTATCCTACAACAAGATGGAAGAGATGCACAACGAAGTCAAGACTCAACAGGAGCAGGCTCGTTCGGATCTCGAGCGTGCAGCAGCTGCAACCGATCGTGTTGAAAGTCAGCTACACGAGTTCCACCCTCAGGTGCTTGAGTCCATTCAAGAGATCCTTTCCATTGTCGGACAGCACTACGACCACTCCCAGAGATCGGCGCAAGACCTCAAGATGGACCTTTCTACGATTCCCTCCGCCATTACTCCTCTACTCCCTGCTTTGCCACCGCCTGAGCCCGAGAAATATGATGATACTCATGTTCAGGAAAAGCTCAATGACCTCCTCGATCGTGCTAAAAGTAGCCAGGTCCAAGAGACCCTGAATACACTCGTCGAACGCGTTACGAATGACCAAGTACATCAAAAGCTCGACGAACTTCTGACCCATACTACGAGTACCAATGGCCAGGTCTACGAGAAACTGAGCGAGCTTCTGGACCACGCCACTAACTCTACTGGGCCGGTGCACGATAAGCTTGATGTACTCATCGACCATGCGACCAATAATGATCAATCAGTTACGCAGATGATGAAGTTGGACGAGATGCACAAGGATATCATGGACACATCCCGTCGGATGAACGAGATGTTTGCTGCCCAGACCGCCATGGTGGCTGAAGACAACGAGCGGAGACGTAAGGAGGCCGAAGAAGCAGCGATTGCATTGGAGAGGCGCAACGCCCAGCGCGAGCAGGTGGAGGCAGAAATCTTGACCCTAAAGGAGGAGAAGGATTCTCTGCTGCACATTATCCAGACTTTGAAATCTGAAAAGGATGACCTTGCTAAGCAGACCACCAAGCTCAGCAAGGAAGTCGCTGGCTTGGAGATGGCACTCGAGCTTCGTCATGAAGAAATGCAAGTTATGGAGGATCGTGCAGACCATCTCGAAAAAAGAATCCTGGAAGGCGTTCTCGACCACGCTCGCAGTGTTCTCTTGAGTCGCCCGAATGGCGTAAAGAAGCGCGGATCTCGCGCCCGCGGGCCTAGTGTTGCCAGCAATGCCAGCACCGCCAAAGATGCCCGTAGCATCCTCGGCAGTAGCGTTGGGCTAGCGCTGAGAAAGCGAGGAACGAATGGGTCCCAGGCGGGATCTGTCGCACCATCTACCACCAGCAAGGAACGGCGTATCTTCAGTCTGAGCAACGTTACAGGCAATCGCGGTGCAGGAGATCGGCAGGTGAGCAGCGCCAGTGGGTTTGCCAGTCTGAAGCGGAGCCATTCCGTCAGATCCAACGTCTCCCAGCGCAAGGCATCTTGGGGAGGCCGGAGCTCCGTTGCCAACAAGGAGAACGAAGTCTTTCCAGAAGAGGATGGGGAAGAGAGTGACGCAGGCACGGAGCGACGAACCAGTTACACAGGAACATACGCGGATAGCATGATCTATGGTACCAGTAGCCATGTCTCCGCCGATCGGCGGGTAAGTGCCGCTAGCTCCACAGGGCTGCATTCGGTCGCGGACGAACCGGAGGACTCCGATGCGGAGGACGCTCAGACGCCCAAGGCAGATGAGCCGGACGAGGCGTTGGAGCTGGATGAGGAGGGCTCAAAGATGGTGGTCTACGGACAGCACAGCGACAGTGGTATTGGACCCGAGGTCACGAGTGCCGCGGCATGAAGCTCTAAGCGCACGAGGACTCCTCTCGACTCTGCTGCATGACCCTAGTAATGAAGGGATGAGAGCAAGCAGCATGATATGGAAGCTCTCCTGAAACAAATCATCCGAGCATTTGGCTGCGCTGAGTGCTGTATAGATTAGGATCATTGGTGTGTCGGACATGAATCCGAAAAGGGGTTGGATACGGGTTACTTTCTTTTGTATTCTCCTATGTTTCTTACGACTGTTTATGCATGATGTACCTATGTTTCTTATTCAGCGAGTGGAAGTTAATAATGGACTTGATATGCTGATTTGAGGGAAAACCAAGATTCAATATATTTCTTCTGTAGATGTTTGTTCGTAGCTGTTGCCTGTAGAAGATGGAGATCAAAGAAGCAACGAGTCACATGGCCAACGGTCATGCACCGCGGCTGAGTCAGCGCCGAATCCCCAACGGATTTGTTTCTCACGGCGCTTTTTGTGTTTAAAGAGGTTGGCTCCCAGGTCCTTGCTGCATCAACAGTCACTACTCGCTTCATCCTGGATGCGTGCATGCCTGCATCGGTTGCCGTCCTTGGCTGGCCCGACGGCGAGAGATAAATAGATCCTCGGTGCCTGCTGCCCCTGGCCACTCCTCTTTTACTACTACTTCTCTCCTTTCGGTCGGTAAACTCCAACGTCTCCGGTCTCCACCATGGCTAGTTTCTAGACCAACTAACCTCACTAGTCTCCGCCCTCCTGCTGCTCTCTCCTCCTCTGTCTTGTTCTCCTGCTCCCCTATCTCCTCTCTGCAAGAGTGGTTAATTTTCCGGTTCTCTCATCCTAACTTCTCTCCGCTTGGTCGGAGGAGCGGTCAACCGGCATGTTGGATCCGTTTCCACCCCCGCCAGCATGGCTGCGGGATTTCGTCGAGCCTTGGGCGCTTTATTACAACGTTCCGGCTCTGACGGAGCATGCTCACGAAGTCGTTATTGCTTTTGCCGGCTACCTCTTTATCCACTTTATCTTGTCCCCCGTTCTGTCTCCGGTGTTGTTTCCCCGTCACTACCCGAAACTCAATCCCCGGACCAAGCTCAACTGGGATGTTCATGTCGTCTCGCTGGTGCAGAGCACCTTTATCAATGGCATGGCCCTTTGGGTCATGTTTGTCGATGAAGACCGGGCTTCTATGAACACTCCTGAACGTGTCTATGGATACACTGGAGCCTGTGGACTGGTGTCCGCCTTCGCTGCCGGATACTTTGTCTACGATCTGATCGTGAGCACGATCTACGTTAAGCTCTTTGGGATCGGAATGCTTTTCCATGGCATTAGCGCCCTGTGGGTGTTCAGTTTCGGATTTGTGAGTTGTAACCTTTTTCAGATTTACGGTATGCGTCAATAAGCTAATCATTTGACTTGTGCTATAATAACAGAGACCATTCGTGAACTTCTACTCCCCTGTCTTCATCCTCTATGAGCTCTCCAGCCCTTTCCTCAATATCCACTGGTTCCTCGACAAGGTCAACATGACCGGCAGCAACCTGCAGTGGTATAATGGCATGATGCTTCTCTTCACCTTCTTCAGCTGCCGTCTCCTTTGGGGCACCTACCAGTCCGTCGCCGTCTATCGGGACATGTGGTACGCCCTGAAACAGACCTGGGATGCCACCGCAGCTGCTACTCCCCTCGAGCCCGTCGATATCACCTCTCAAGTCTTCCAGGTCCGCGGAGGCAGCGGCAGTGAAATGGCCAGGTACGCCTCCTTCACCGCCGGCGGCGTCCCCACCTGGCTGGTCCTGACTTACGTGATCTCGAACGTGGTCCTCAACTTCTTGAACTACTTCTGGTTCTCGAAGATGGTCGAGACCGTCCTGAAGCGGTTCCGCGGGCCCGCTGAGAAGTCCGGACCGGCCGGTAAGCCCTCCAAGGAGGAGCAAATCAACAACCTGAAGGAGGAAATCACGCAGAAGGTCGTCCTGGAAGCGGCCTCCAAGCTGGAACAGGAGGAGGGTAGCCCTTTCCTCGATGGAGTTACCGAGGAGAAAGTCGCTTCGGCTGTCGACTCGGGGCTCGAGGAATTGAGGAAGAGGAAGGTCCAGTTGTCATCCTAGTTTGCTTCTGTTACATGCTTCAATAAAGCAGCAGCGGCAGCAGCAGCAACAAACCAACGAGGAACAACATCCCTCATCATACCGTCAGTCCTACTATGGACAGCCTCGTAGCTCGCGAGGACATGTCTCACAGCTTGTTGACTTGATATCTACCCCTACTACAGCCGACCACATAAGTCAGCGAGACCGGCTTCCAAGCATCAGAGAATATATTCTTATATAACGCGATGTCATGTTATGGGAAAGCTAGTTGATTCGAAATCCATGCATTCATGTCTTTCGACAAGGAGTTGATCTGGATAGGAGAATAGGTTTGCTTATTTTAGTCTGTTTTTGTTTTGTTTTCTTGTGCAGTTGCTATCTGGCTTAGATCTCAGTACAGTACAGTATCAGAAATTTAAATGAAACGAGTAACGGCATATAACACTACTACAATATATATAACCATACACCACTATGGACCTGTGCAATTATCATATGGTCTTCATACTACTAATCCCAAATATATATATCTACTACAGCCACGGTAGATAAGATCTGTATAGTTTCAACCAAGCAATACATTATAGATGACAAGGGAACTAAAAAAGAGCTGAAGAAAAAACATCCATCCCGGAATCAAAACCAACCAAAGACAAAAAACACCACGAAAGCGCCCCCATCAAACAAACAAGCCCAACTCAACCGACTAACTAAACTAGTATCGTTCGTAAGGAGTTATTTTCTTCGCTGATCAGATAATACACCAGTCACACATCACTAACTTGATACCACATGTTCTCCAGCACCCAATCCTAACGAGTAAACTACCTAGGTAAGAATCACCTCCCCATCGCCGCCTCCGGCTTCGCAAGCATATACCGCACCGCTTCCCTCGCCACAGTCGTATCCCAAACGCCATCTGTACCACCACGACGGAACTCAGGACCACTAGCATCTTCGCCACCACCACGCGTCGCCTCTCCGAGGATAGTCTCCAGGTCTCTGCGCTGGGAGTTGATCCAGCGGCGGACGAAAGTCGCGGGATCCTTGCTGAGAGCCGTGTAGAAGGAGTGACGGGCGCGGGAGTGCGTCAGGGCCTGCACGATGAGAGCGACCTGGTCGTCTAGCGTGGCGATCTGGCGCATGGATGCCGTGTATTGCGGGTTCTGGGTGAGGGCGAGCATCTTGGAGCGGAGAGGGTCTTCCAGGGCGACTTGGATGTCGTAGACGGTGGGGGTCGGGTCCTTGTGGTAGTCTTCGTCGACGCGGATGGTGTAGGGGAGGTGGATGGGGTCGATAGGGCTGGTGTGTGGGCCGATGCTTTCGGGGATTTGGGGGAAGAACATTTGGTCGCGGCCGAAGATCTGTGTGGTTGGGTTGGGTTAGTTTGGTTTTTGGATTTATATGGAAATGGGGAGGGGACGTACCGATCGGAGACGATGGTCACAGCGGACGAGTCGCTTCTCTTCGTCTTCTTGTAGGCCCATGGCGCGGATGTAGTCCCAGATGCCGAGGACAATGCCGCTTCGTGTTTCTTCCTCCACGTCTAGTACTTCTGCTAGCTCTTTGCTGAGCTTGTACCGTTCTGGTGTCTCGTCGCGCACGAGACTGAATGTCACGTTCAGGTTCTCCTGTGACGCGCGGGCGAACTGCATCGAGTCAAAGTCTGCCGTGGGTGGCAGGGTGACGGTGTTAGGGGGTAATTGCGGCTTGGTCCAGGTGATTGGCTTGACTTCCTCCGGACTGGCGGTGGAGGACTTGTCGAAGTCGACGGTGATGGATTTGAAGAAGTGCGAGAAACGCTGCTTGGAGCGCTTGTTGGATGACTTCTTGGTCGTGGCATTGGCGTTAGGGCCATCTTGCTCCATTGCGTCGCCGTTGTCTGTCTGCTCGGTAGCTTCGTCGTCACTGTCCTCCGGGGCGGTCGGGTCGCTGTCGTCGTCTAGAAGACGTCCCTCGATGCGCACCTTGTACCGTCCGGAGCCGGGGTTGCTTCCGGGGGCGGCACCGTTGGCAGTCTGCCAGGGTTGGTTTTCGACAGTGTTGGAGATCCAAATGCGCATCGTGCGGTACTTCTTGACAGTCTTGCTGATGGAGTCCTGGATGTCCAGGCGCTTACGGACAATGGCTGCATCGAGGCGTTTCTCCAGGTCGCGGAGGCTCTTGTACTGCTGCACACCTTCGCCGATGATTACTTCCTCAATGCCGTCGGGGATGTTCTTGTCGGTGGGTTTGCGGCTGCGACGCAGGGCGGCGTCATTGGGAGGCTGCATGTTGCGCTGGGGAGGGATGTATTGAGGGGGAACGGCGTGCTGAGGCATGGGGACAGGCATCGCAGCAGCTATATGAGGGAGAAGAAGGAGTTAGAAGAAAAAGTTCCGCCGGGGTTTGATTGGGTTACAGGGTGGAGGCTCACCAGGACCTGGAGGACCGCGACGAGGCGTGGCAGGGGAGCGTTGGGCGGCTTGTGGGGGGAACCCACGGCCGTAGTTGGGTGGGATCGGGGCATTCATGGTTGGTCCGTGATGAGACGGTGAGGCCGCAAGGGAAGATCCGCGAATTGGAGGATGGAGATCCTTGGGGCGATGAGACAGACCGCGCAGGGCCGGAGAGATGGGCGTGTAGTTGCTGGGCGGACGAACAGAAGCAAGTCAGTCACTTGCTTTCGCGATTCTTTTGCCGCGGTCGCGCTATTCCTCTTTGGGATGGACCAGTAACCACATCAAACTACGCTCTATAATTACTTTTCTCTAGTTACTTATAGGATCAACGATCCTCATATATTCATTTGTAGTAATGCTGTTTCATTTCCAAGCCATTAACTCAATAATCACCTCCCCCCCACGCATCATCTGCCTTTTCTTACTTACTCCAGCAGCGATGCTTGATTAGTGTACAACTCTTCCACCACATTGCTCAACTTCTCAATCGTGTCCAATGCAGCATCGTATGCCTGATCACGCTCCGTCTCATCGTAGACAATCAGGCATCCAGCCCCCTGGTCGAGCACTCCGATAATCACCTTGTCCAGGATCATCTGGGAGAGCTTCCGCTCCACCTGCTGCGTGTCCAGTCCAACCATCTTGGCGATGTGGTCCAGCTCAACCCGGCTGAAAGGTTCAATAACCTTGATCAGGTTCTGCTCCAACATGGCATCGTACAGTCTGCGGAGGTGGTTGCGGATGAATGTATCACTGCCCAGCTCGAACCTGTAGTCCGAGAGCGCCTTCTCGTACTCCTCTAGGGACCGGTTGGCATGGGCACGCGCCACAGCCTTCATGGCCTCGAGTCGCGGGCTGGCATACTTCTGAGCCTGCTTCGATCCCAGCAAATTCGTCACATCGTCCACCAGGTTCAACATGATCTTGCATAGCAGCATATATTGGAGGGCCGCAGTGGCCTTCTCTCCCTCATCAAGGGAGCTGTACCCTTCCAGAGCCTCAATGAAATAGGAGAATGACGTGTTGAAATCTTTGTCTTCGGCGTGTAGCATACCACTCTGCATATCCAGACCGGCCTGCAGGTTCGGCGGAGTGTAGACGGAGGCGGCCGATGTCCGGGCTGCCGTCAAAGCAGCACGTGCCTTGGCCTGGTTGCCCAATGCATGGTACACCCGCGACTCCAGCAGCTGCACCTCAACCAGCATGAGCTTGTCATCCAGGCGCTTTAGCTCGCGGAGGAGGGAGTTGATGAGGGTGAGCGCATCGTAGTAGGTCTGTTTCTGCATGTAGATGGCCACAAGGCGAGTCTGGAGGTTCTGACGAAGGAAGGACCTCCGCTCGGCGATGGCCCACTCAATGCATGATTGGATGACGGAGACTTGGATATCGAGGGTGTTCGGGATCTCGCTGAACAGGTCGAGCAGCTGGCGGACTATCAGAGGACGAGTGGTTAGCAACCCTGGAAGCAATACATTAACCCGGTCAGTCCAACATACCCAGCTTAGCCGTCTTTGCCTTGGCGAATGAAGAGAAAGAATCGCGGCTGGTCTTGATGAGTTCGGCAATCTCGTGGGGCTTCTTCTGGTCCCGGTAGAGCTCTCCCAGCAACACCAGGGCATTCTCGTAATCGCGCGATGAGGCCTCAGACGAACCGGGACCTTGCGCGAGAATTTCCTTGAGGGTGCTCTCGGCCTTGGAAGGGTCGCTCTTCACGAGACCCCGGGCTTCGTCTATCCGCCCAGCGGTCGTCGAAGAGGGTGCCATGACTAGATCGGGGCTGTGAGGGGCGGCGGAGGAAATCTGGAGGGATTGCGGGTAGTTTTCAATCTGCCAGCGGAGTGACAGGTAATGCACAGAGTAGGAAGGCCCTAGACACGATGAGAGATGAGATGATGAGGTATAGAGGATGATGGCAGGACAGGAAGCTTACAGGTTTGGCTATCGTCACTGGCGGTTGGAGCTGCAGCTGCCGCCCTCACCGCCCGCGGCTTGGCGAGCCAACCAGAATCGGCGGTACCCGCCCAGTAGAAAAAAGCGCCTGGAAATTTTATGTCCGATATAGTTTTAGTTTTCTTTCCTCCAGCTTCCTTTGCAGAGAAAACCACCGGACGCCATGGTAAGTCAATCTAAATCACTCCATAGCCTTCCGGATAGAGACTAATATACCTCTCAGAAAATCAAAGCTCTCTCTCGTCCCACTTCCTCGCAACAGGCTCCGGGAACCGCTGTCGTTCGACAGCCCCGAAACCTCGACCCGGCGCAGCATCCATTCGAGCGGGCTCGTGAATACACCCGTGCTCTCAATGCCACCAAGTTAGAGCGCCTGTTCGCTGCGCCCTTCTTGGGCCAGATGGGCGAAGGCCATGTGGACGGTGTGTATACTATGGCCAAGGACCCAGGCTCTCTGGAACGGTTCGCCAGTGGTAGCGGTGATGGTGTGGTCAAGGTGTGGGATTTGACCACCCAGGGAGAGATCTGGAACACCCAGGCACACGACAACATCGTCAAGGGTGTGTGCTGGACCCCCGATCGGAAGTTGCTTTCTTGCGCGAGCGACAAGACCGTCAAGCTTTTTGACCCGTACAACTCGGCACCCGAAGCACCACCGCTAGCAACCTACCTGGGCCAGGGCGCTTTCACCTGCCTCACGCACCATCGGGACCTGCCCTACTTCGCCGCATCCTCCTCTCAGATCTCTATCTACGATCTCTCCCGTCCTTCCTCTACGCCGTCCCAGACTCTCCACTGGCCCACCAACGTGGATACCATCACCTCCATTGCTTTCAACCAGACCGAGACCTCCATCCTTGGTTCGACCGGCATTGATCGCTCGATTATCATGTACGACCTCCGGACATCGTCCCCTCTTCACAAGATGGTTCTCCGCCTGGCGTCGAACGCGATCTCGTGGAATCCGATGGAAGCGTTCAACTTTGCCGTTGCCAACGAAGACCACAACGTCTACATGTTCGACATGCGCAAGATGGATCGCGCATTGAACGTGCTCAAGGACCACGTCGCTGCTGTGATGGATGTGGACTTCAGTCCCACCGGTCAGGAACTTGTCACTGCCTCTTACGATCGGACGATCCGCTTGTGGAACAGATCCACGGGCCACTCTCGCGACATCTACCACACCCAGCGTATGCAACGGTATGTATCTACTTTTGCTCCCCTTCTCCAAGAATCCATAATGCTGACTATGTTCTACAGTGTTTTCTCCGCCAAGTTCACACCCGACAACAAGTACGTCTTGTCCGGCTCCGACGACGGCAATATCCGCCTTTGGCGCGCAAACGCATCCGACCGCAGCGGAGTAAAGAGCGCTCGTCAACGGGCCAAGCTCGAGTACGACCAGGCTTTGATCCAGAGATACTCGCACATGCCGGAAATCCGCCGAATCCGCCGCCAGCGTCACGTGCCGAAGCCGATCAAGAAGGCGCGCGAGATCAAGCGGGAGGAGCTGATGGCGATCAAGAGACGCGAAGAGAACGTGCGCAAGCACACCAAGAAGGAGAACCTGCCCAAGAGACAGAGCGAGCGCGAGAAGATGATCCTGGCCAAGGAGCAATAAATGCTCTGCCCGGGACGTCCATCTGGATGATCGTGCGGAACGGCTGCGCTCAGAGACGAATTAAATTGTGTCTCAAGTATATATACATTGCATGGACATGATACAGTTGGGGTATATTCTTATTGCAGCTGTTGTTCAGCTTCGTCGTTCAGTCCTCTTTCACGTGATCCAACTCAGTCTGCAACTGCTGGCTGGACGAATCAGCCCTGCCGGGTTTGGACGACGCCTGTGCTACCGCACCATCAATCCCGCTCAGGTACCGCGCCAACCGCTGCACGCTCGCCGGCAACACCGCATACCAGTTCACCAGCATGGCAAACGCAGGCAACCTTATCACGCCACCCCTGCCGCTGTCGACAGCCGAGACAATAGCCTGCGCGACCTGGACTGGCTCCAGCACGGGGGCAAAGAACCGGTTGGGCGTCTGGACGGATTCAAACAGCGGCGTTGAGATCTGGCCCGGCTCCACCAGAACCATCTTCACTTTTGCATCGTCCCCGGATTGTCGAAGTTCGGCCTCGAGCGAGCGATGCAACGCGCTCAACCCAGCCTTACTAGCCGAGTAATCCGCCAAGCCAGCCGCACACAGCTGCCCGAGCACCGAACTCACCGTAACAATGGTCCCACCGTCCGGCGCAGCCAGCATATACGGCAAAAAAACCTGATAGGCATGAACGGCGGCGAGTAAATTGGTGTTGATAGTTTTCTGGAAAGCCTCGGGAGAGAGCTGTTGCAAGGGTAGACCGTTGATTCTTGCAGCTGCGCAATGGATCAAAATGGTAGGAGGGCCCAACTATCCACCCACCCCATCAAGTTAGTTAGCCATCAGTCAATCAATCAAATCAATTAAATACCAGACTCCCTCCCACCCACCATATCTCTATATCAAAAGTAAAAATAAAGAAAAGGGAAAAATACATACCTCCACCGCAACCCTCCCCACCACGCCCTCCAAAGCCCCCCTATCCGAAACATCACAAACATAACACCCCCCCAACCCCATCTCCTCGACCTCCTCATCCGATATCCCGCGAAGATCCAAAACCGCTACGGAGGCGCCACGCAGCGCATATATCCTCGCAATGAGTAATCCCAACCCGCTCGCACCGCCCGTCACGACCACCACTTCATTGGAGAGATCGACGGTGCGCGGGGCCCCGTAGGCTAATTGCTGATTGAGTGTGCTGAGGATGTAGATGAGGGTGAGGAGGGCGGAGTAGATGATGGCGATGATGAAGGGGAGGGAAGTGTAGGGGGTTGCTTGAGCGCGGAGGCATAGGAGGAGGATGTAGGATGGGATGGGGTGGAGGATGGTCCGGGTGAGGGTTGTGAGGAGGAGGTCGATGGTTAGGGGGGGGTTTGTGTTGGGATTGTTGGTGATGCTGGTGCTGGTGGTGGGTTGGAGGGGGTGGGTGTGGATGAGTTTTGGGGTGGTCATTTTGCGGGAGGGAGTATTAGGAATGGTTGAGTGATGGTTTAGGTGTGGTTGGGGGCATGGTAGGGGGTTGTGGTGTTGTGTATAGCAGTGGTTGTGGTGGTGAGTGGTGAGTGGTGGTGGTGTTTTGCGGAGGCTGCTGCGGCTTGGGGTCTGTGATTGGTTGGTTAGGAATTGTCGGCGCTTAGATAGGGGGTGTGATAAGTGACTTACTGGGTGCGATTATGGAGGAGGATTGAGTGTGGACTTCTGGTCTGGGGTATAGGGTGTCAATTGGAAGTTGTGACAGTCGGAGCTTGGAGGAGGGAATGAGGAGAAAGAAACTCCGGCCAGATGATTGTGAGATGTGGGGCTGCTGATGGAGTGGTTCAGTTCAGTTCAGTTCAATTCAGCTCAGCTCGTGGCTGAGTTAAGGTTGTGTAAGGCATGCATAGTGCATTTGCCTTGATTATCTGGAACTTTGATTTCGGAGATTGATAATTCAGTTAAATCTTATGTTTACGTTGCCGTCAGCTGTGACTGACCCATGATCGGGGATACATACAAAGTGCGGCGAGCTCCGCCATAGATTGCTGTCACCCGAAACACCACTTTCTATCACTCACAACATCTAACACAATATAATAATATATACCAAAAATGCCTCCGCCTACTCTTACACCCGTCAAGCGCATTCAGAATGTCCGACTCCCCGGCAGAGACTCAACTTGGGACATTGCCATCTCGCGCCCCCATGATTCTCCGCACAGCATCATCACATCCATCACCCCGCACCCCAATGCTGAATTGGATCAGACCGCACCACTCGCCCTCCCAGCTCTGACACACCCACATATCCACCTCGATAAAGCATTTATCCACAACTCCCCCGAATATGCACATCTTCTTCCCTCCACCGGCTCGTTCGCTGAAGCGCTATCCTTTACCACGAAAGCAAAGCAGCAGTTTACGCGGGAGGATCTCCTGAGACGCGGAGAATGGCTGATTGCCGGATCTGTCTCCGCAGGAGTCACGGCGATGAGGGCATTCGTGGAGGTAGATCATACTGTAAACCTCACTTGTCTTGAAGCCGGTATCGCTCTCAAGGATGAGTGGAAAGAGGTATGTGCAGTGCAAATCGTGTCATTTGCGCAGGACCCGATATTCTCGGGTGAGCATGGGAACCATAACCGTCGGCTCATGGAAGAAGCCGTGCGACAGACGCAGGTTGATGTCATCGGGACAACACCGTACGTTGAGTCGTCGATCGATGCATCGAAACAAAATATTACATGGGCGATTGAGCGTGCCCTAGAGTGCAGAAAGCATGTGGACTTCCATCTCGACTATAAACTCGACACTGGGAAGGAGGCACTGGTATGGTTTGTTTTGCACACGCTGAAGGAAAAGGGGTGGACATCGCAGTCAACAGATAAGCGGGTCATGCTGGGGCACTGCACGCGACTGACGCTGTTCAGTGATGAAGAATGGGGGCTTCTTGCACAAGAGATCCGGGAAAATGACCTCCCAGTCAGCTTTGTTGGGCTACCGACGAGCGACATGTACATGGCCTCTCCACCATCTTCGAAGGGGCAGGATCGACCACGGGGTACATTGCAGGTTTTGGAGATGATAAACAAGTATGGTTTGGACACGGTGATAGGAATCAACAATGTGGGCAACGCTTTTACGCCCTGGGGCTCTGAAGACCCCCTGTCATTGGCGTGTGTAGGAGTGGGTGTCTATCAAGCCGGGACCAAGGCGAATGCTGAGCTATTGTACGAATGCGTGTCAACCAGAGCTCGCGCAGCAATCGGACTTCCCTCACCCGAGGCCTTGTCCTTGAGCCAGGGAAGTCGTGCAGATATCCTGCTGTTCTATGACGTGGATGACACCGGTTGTAACGTGTCGAAACCGCGACATGGTGTTGCAGGCATCGTTTGGGACCCGCCAGCCAAGGCTAGCAGAGAGCTCGTAGTTGGTGGTCAACTAAAGGCTTCTCCATGTTCAATGTGTCCGAAATCTGCGTTTGACTTTGTGTAGCGGCGAGTTATCGGGAGGCGTCATCTTTGGCGTATTGAAGGTTGCACAGCAGATAGTGTATTGTATTGCTAACCCAAAGCTTCACACGCTTCAGATATCTATAATTCGCTAGACCACATAAGTGATGAAGATGATCTAAAGAATCTAAGACGTCAAGTGCTCAATGTCAAATATAGACGCAGAGGTGAACGTAAGTATAAGGGAAGTTGACGCTGGTGTCATGTTCCCCACACTGGAACCATTTCGCTCAGCTGAGCGCGTACCTGCGCAGGTCCGTGTAGCGAATAGCTGAAGGTAGGACAAGCAGGGTCTTCGCGCATGATATCCATGTCATCCACATTAAGCGATAGCCGGAACCCGTTCCCAGCGCGCGGATACAAGCGGTGCTCCTGAAATTCATATTCCGAGTCGTCATCAGAGATCTCCTCATATCGCCTGCGAGTAGACGATGAAGATGTGGCATCGGGTACAGAGTCCTCATTGTGTTTGATCACTTCAGTAGATGCAGACGTGGAATCCCTTGTATCATTGCTTGTCGAAACATTACCCGACACCGATGTCGACGGAGTCGGGGCGTCGGAAATTGGCAATCGAAACGCGAACTTGGATGACTGGAGATCCCTCATATTCTCAGGAAACATCGGCAATATCGGATTGTTGTCCGAAATAGTCATCAGGAGCTCAACGAGGGTTGCATGCGACAGACCCGACAGGAAGCCTCGTCGCTCATCAGCCGAAAATTCCGCTGCACCCACCTCGCCTTTGGGAATTGATAGCGGAGGATAATTAGGGACTAATGGCCCAGATGTGAGGTCAGGATTGCTCCGCACAACTGTTGGCTGAATGACAGAAATTTGGACAGGCCGGCATTCCCGACAGAACCATTCCTTCTCCTTGACCGCAACAACGTCTGCGCCAATAGGAGGATCGTGACACAACTGATGCCATGCGGCATTGCACTCGTCACAGAATACGATCGAGTTGCTTAATGGGCTATGACCCCTCTGACAATGCAAGCAAGTGATGATCGCATCTTTTCCTCGGCGGTGGATACGTTTACGCTTTCGTGCGACGGCTGCATAATCAGACGCGTCCGCCGAGTTGCTTACCTCCTTAGCTACCGCAGGAGCTGACGGTGCTGGTACATATAACGAAGGCCGGTTGACCAAGCGTCCAGATTTTGTTTGCGTCGCTGTTGGTGCAACATCTGATTCGTCGCTACTGGAGTCACCGGCCCTTATGATATCTTCCCCGTCACTGTCATTATTTCGTCTGCGCTTCTTGCCGCGCTTGTTACCATTTGCCGCACCCTTTCGCTGACGCGAGCCAGCTGCAGTTTGTGGCCTCTTGGACTTTGCTGCTGGCTGTGGCTCCTGTGGTGTAGGCAAGGGTGTTGGTGCTGGTGCTGCACCCTTCGACAATGTCCCATTTGGTTTAGGGGCAATTTTGATCTCAGCTGTGGGTTCTGCTGAAATGGGTGCAGTCAATTGTGTTGGTGCTAGAACCGCACCGACAGGTGTTGTGCTTGGTTTTGGAGCGATATTGACTGGAATTGGGGACGCCGACTGCCGTGATACTGCATCGACGGGCGTTGAACTTGTGCGTTTTAGGTCGACATTGACCGGGACTGGAGACCCTGAATGTCTTGATACTGCGTCAATTGGTGTTGTGCTGGGCGGTTTTGGGGCGAGGTTGGGTAGATTTGTAGGCTTTACTATGTCTCCTGTAGTTCCTTGAGGCGCTGGGGAGGCAGGCTGAGGAACCGCCGGTGGCGCCACAGTGTTCGAATACACGAACGGCGCCGTAGGCAATTCAATAATTGTAGAAGAGGCCCTCATTTTCCCCATTGTGGAATTGCTATTCTGGCTTTCGAACGTCCGAGTAACTGTTGATGGGTTCCATGTAACAAATCTATCATTATCATTTCTCTGCTGCGGTCCTTTGAGGTTACCGGTGACCCGCGCCAGTAACTCGGTAGTAGCTGCAGAGAGCCGGGGGATCTCCACCCTCTTTGAGGGTACGCTCGACGGCCGTCCGGGTAAGGAGGGAGGCAGTCCCAGGGAGGAACCAATGCTGACGCTGCGCGAGGAATCCGAAGGGGGTGAGCCAGAAGTGGTGGTAGTGGTATGAAGTGTTCCGTGGGCTGATGAAGGCGCTGTTTCTATAGACGCCTGGGAGGAAGGAGCTCCATTGTGCGGTGACATATCCCCAAGTCGGGTCGATGTGCACAGTTGCTCAGTCGTCTTTAGTAGACTTGCTCCGGACACTGCACCTGAATCCTCACTGTTATCGGAGTGCGACAAGAGAAGTCATCATGAACGGACCCAGATTTATATACCATCACGTGATCGTGAGGAATCCATCCCCCGCGCCCTTGACAGAACCGCCCTTCCATTGTCAAAAGCAATAATGCTCCTTTAATTGTGTAACTGCCAGCGGCACACTGTTCAATATGCATGGCTGGATTGAGGTTATTCTCTTCTAGCTATCTCTCTATGATATCCGGGACTCTTCAGCGCGGATGAGCCGGTAGTCGCACGAAAAACTAACCATGTAGGGATTATTCCTGCAGATGCGTGACCTTCCGGACCACCGGCTCTTCAACGCAGTCTAGAGCAATCCACCAGCCAAGTCGGACGAGCAGAGCTACTGTATGATATAATCTATGCTATTACGCCATCCTTCTTTAGCCGAGCAATATCGTCCTTGCCATACTCCAGTACCTCCCCCAATATTTCGTCCGTATGTTGCCCCAGGGTTGGGGGCGGTGTCCGAATGCCAGGGGTCGCGTGGGAATACTTGATGGGTGTATTCACCAACTTGATGGGACCACAGGCTGGATGGTCAATTTCTGCAACCATGCCTCGTGCTTGGACTACATATACATTATCAGCGAATTGGTATAATTCTGGAATCAGGTTATGTTGGATGTATAGCATACCGTGGGAGTGGTTCAACGTTCCCTGAATATCATTGACTGCGGCATAGGGCATGCCGCTGCCCTCCAAGATCTCAAGCCACTCTTGCGTGGTCTTTTGCTTTACAGTTTCCTCAATCAAACCATCAATATCCGTACGATGCTTTACTCGATCACTGTTGGTAACGAATCGGGGATCGGTCTTCCATTCCGGGTGTCCAAGTCGGTCGCACAACACACCGAACAGTCTATCGTTCCCGCCTCCGAAAAGAATATCGCCATCGAGCGTCTTGTAGCTTCGGTAAGGCACAATGGATGCTACAGACAGTCAGTAGCTAGATTTCGAACACATGGTATAAGCCACTTACGGTGTGCGGTTCCCCATCTTCCCGAATCCTTCTTACCACTGATCAGAGCGGAGCTGGCAATGTTCGCCAAGGTCGCAACTTGACAGTCGCTCAGGCATGCATCGATATGCTGTCCCTTACCAGTTCTCGCTCGCGCAAGCAAGGCAGCCATTATGGCATTCGATGTGTACAGACCAGTGGTCAAATCGGTCACAGCAACGCCTACCTTCACCGGTTCCCCCTCTCTACTACCCGTGATGTGCATCAGACCCATCTCCGCTTCGACCATGACATCGTACCCCGCACGGTTACTGTATGGCCCAGTCTGACCGTATCCGGTGATGCTGGCGTAGATAAGTTTAGGATTGATGGAGCGCAGGGTCTCATAATCCATATTATATTTCTTAAGACTACCAGGAAGGTAGTTCTCGACGAGGACGTCACATTCCTTCGCCAGCCGGTGTAGAATCTCTACACCGGACTTATGAGCGAAAGACAGACCAATTGATTTCTTGTTGCGGTTTACCTATTCACAATGGTCAATTGCGCTCTTGGAGGTATGGCAGTAGCAGACCGCATAACATACTCCAAGATAGTAGGCACTCTCCCCTGGACCTTCGGACCCATCGGTGTACGTGGCGTACGGGGGACCCCACGCTCGAGTATCATCACCGCGCACGGGGTGTTCGACTTTAATAACATCCGCTCTATATGGTATCATCCCGGTCAGATCCCCCACTGCCTTGATAATAATTGTCAGATGTCGAAAAACATACCCTAAATCACCCAAAATCTGGGTACAGTATGGCTGCGGGGACAATGTTAGTTACATCTCCAACCCCACGCTGTTGGAGACGACAATCCTACTACTCACACCAGCCAAAACTCGTGTCATATCCAAAACTCGTATACCTTTCAAGGGAAGTGTATCATCCGAAACAGCAGAAGAATAGCTGCGCCATTGCGTCGTCCTCCGGGGAAGATAGATGCTGCGACGGGCAACGCAAGCCCGCTGTACCCTCAATGCGGCCGTGAGATTCATGATTGATTCTAATGCTGGCTTAAAGATGCGATGTTAAATAATATGATAGACCCATAAAAGTAATGATAGTTAGAGCAATATCCAGCCAAAAGGAAAGTGGGCAGATAAATTATAATCGACAATGCAAGGTTCTCCAAATAAGCTACAGGGGAGATCAAGTAGAAGCGCTGGCTCCCATTCGGGGACCTCGCCGACGGAGCTTCGCAGCCGAGGTCAAGTACATTAAGTCCGCTTTCCGCTCAACTTTCCTTCTCACAACCGCTTGATTCCGCCCGCAACCACGGCATCGACTCTACATTTTTATATTCTTACCCATTTCCACCATGTTCACCGGTCTTGTTGAGAAAATCGGGAGTGAGTTTCTTATACTGCGATCATGAATACCCAAACAGAAAAAACTAATTGCCTTTCTCTATCGCAGCTGTCTCGTCCCTCGAGCCTCTCGATACCTCCTCAAGCGGGGGCGGGGGTACATCCTTGACCATCTCCGACTGTGAGGAGATTCTCACAGATTGCCATCTCGGCGACAGTATAGCCGTCAATGGTATGAATCGCATCGCATGATATCAATTGTTACACTCACCATCATTCCCATTGCATTCGATCTCTACTTTTTCCTCTGCTTCCTTCTCTCTCCATCGTTACCCCTCCCCCTACCCCCACTCCCCCCAAAATCGCGAAACAATACCCCACGAACCCCCCACGAGCACCCCCCAAGGAGCCCAAGGAGAAATCCCATTCAACTAATAAAATTACATAAAAACAGGAACCTGCCTAACAGTAACCGCCTTCGACAAGACCTGGTTCAAGGTCGGCGTCGCCCCCGAAACCCTCCGCCGCACGAATCTCGGCTCCCTGCAGACTGACTCCCGCGTGAACCTCGAACGCGCCGTGCTGGGTGAAACGCGCATGGGCGGTCACTTTGTGCAAGGCCACGTCGATACCATCGCCAAGATTCTTTCCGTGACGCCGGAGGGCAATGCGCTGGTGTTCCGTATGCAGCCGCGCGATGTGGGCGTGATGCGGTACATCGTGGAGAAGGGATATGTCACGCTGGACGGGGCTAGTTTGACGGTGACGAATGTTGTGGATGGTCCGGAGGGGTACTTTGAGGTGATGCTTATTGCGTATACGCAGGAGAAGATTGTCACGGCGGCGAAGAAGCCTGGGGATTATGTGAATGTGGAGATTGATATTGTGGGCAAGTATGTGGAGAAGAGTGTGCAGGGGTACTTTGCTGGTACTGCCGGTGGGGATATGAAGATGTTGGAGAAGATGGTGGAGAGGATTGTCGAGGAGAAGTTGAGGAAGTAGTAGGTGGATGGGTGGGTATTGGTAGATATCCGTGTTTTGTTTGCAGGGAGGGAACTAGTATGATCATGGATGTTGTTTACGAGCCAGTTTTGCTACGTGTAAATAGGGATATGATATGAGAAAGTTTCTTCCATGTACGAGTATAGAAAATAATAGGCAGGATTTGTGGGTATATTTTGGTACTTCTATCGGTCATGGCCAGCCTGCTGAACGTCACGAGAGACTTCCGGTCATGGCTCGTAACATTCTGATCGAGACTTTTTAGATAACTCAGTCCTTTTCGTCCGTGGCCACCTGTACTCCCAACGCCAACGAGCAAAGGAAGAAAGAGTCACGTCTTTTATCGCAGGCTTCGTCACTGAAATGTAACTGATCTCCACTATCATAGCTTCACATGCATGCGCCCAGTTCTCAGGGCCAACGGCAGAAGCAAGTAATGCGTGGGATTTTGATGTAGCAGCTGGGCTATGAGCTGCTTGACATTGAGAGTCCGTTTCAAGGTGATGAAAGCGCGCCTGTTTACTCCTCCATCGATTCGTCCTCATCCTCATCATCGTTCTCCTGCTCCTCCGCATTGTCATCTTCAAAGTCATCACTGAGCCATTCATCTTCCTCATCCATATCAACATCATCTTCGTCGTCGTCTTCAACCTCCTTGCCTTCGGCTTTAGCTTGAGCCTTGGCTTGCTTCTTCTTCTCGATGTTCGCTTTTTGTTCCTTCTTTCTTTGCTCCTTCTCCTTCTTCTTCTGATCCCAGTTCTTGTCCAACTTGGTGACTTCCTCCTCAGACTTCTTGATGAAATCGTGCCACATGACGCGACCTTCGCAAAGACCTTCTTCAACCTTGAGCAGGCGGAGCTTCATACGAGGGCCCAGCTCAACCAACTTGACCGCCCGCTTCTCGACTCCCGGAGCATTGCTCAGCTTCTTCTGTGCCTTCTCCTTCTCTCCAGCCTTCATGCGCTGTAGTTCGCGCTTCGAGAGGACCTTTTTCGTGGTGCTCTCCGCCACCTCAACCTCAGCATCCGTGTCCATCTCCGTCTCACTAGCCGAGGTATACCCAGCAGCTGACGGGTCCAGCAGATAATCCGCCGCATCCTCCAGCTTACCCAGATTAGGCACAGCGGCACCCTTCTTCTCCCTGTTCCGGATCTCCTTGGGATCGAGGCGGCGAATGCGCTTCGAAACGCCGGTCTTCTTCGTAGTAATGGCGTAATGACGGAGGTTCAACACATAGTGTTCTGTCTCCTCACCCTCGGGGGCGAGTTCACGGTTCAAGAGCATCACACGGCGAATGGAAGAGAGGGGAGTGGCTTGAGGGTTGATCGGGGGGAAGAGAGATTGGAAGATAGTCGTTGAGAGACTCTCCAGACGCTTAGGCACCTTAGAGTCCTCAGTGGCGTTGGGGGAGTTGAAATTGTTCATGACCAACAAAGGAGGCGTCTTGTGATCCTGACCACCACCTCTCGGGCGCTTCAAAGCTTTCTCAACATCACGGCATAGGGAGTAGTTTTCGACCTGGAAGTGCAATGTCGGACCACGGGGCGTAAGCGCCAAACGCATGTTCGTGTTTCCAGACGCCGACTTGGAGAAAAGCATAAGATGTGTGACTCCAAGGGGACCAGTCATAGTCGTGTAATCCCTTAGCCTGTTTGATTTGCGTTCCTAACAACCGATACCATTAGTCTTCATCCATTTGTCAACAAAACAATTCTAAGCTCACCTTCAATCTAACAGCCGTATCCGGCTCCATCATCGTTCGCACATCCTTGACCAACTGACTGACACTAGAACCAACTTCTGAAGCGCCGACACGGATAACCATCGACTTCGGAGTCTTGCTCATAGATGCGGCGCCGCCTTTGGCAGCAGCAGCCGTAGCATTTTGCGCGCGAACATGAGTGCGCTTCTTAGTACGTGCCTTCGCCATGGTGACAAAAGCGTAAAGATGAAAAGGAAAACAACGGAGGAATAATAATCGCTCCGGACGGGGATGTTCTCAGGGCAGTGACTTTTTTTCTGACCCGAAGAAAAAGTATGAGCGGAGCAAAGCCGCGGAGGAGCCCGGATCAACGATTTTGCGGCGCCTAAAATTATACATTATTTTACTTTCGCAATGATGTCGACAAGTTTTTTGAATTTTCGCTGCTGCCAGATAAAGATATTCTCTACCCATACAAATAATAATGCCTGGAGTCAAGAAGCGCAAGGTCGCCCGTGAGGCACCTGCACCTGCGCCTGCGCCCGCACAAGAGAGCGATGTCGAATCTTCCACCCCAGAGCAATCCCCAGAACCGGAAGCACAAGAGCAAGTGCAAGAACAAGAAGAGGGACAGACCAAGACATTCAAGGAGCTAGGAATCATCGAACAGCTATGCGAGGCCTGCGAGACGATGGGCTACAAAGCGCCCACTCCCATCCAGCGGGAGTCGATTCCTCTGGCTCTTCAAGGCCGTGATTTGATCGGTCTTGCAGAGACCGGAAGTGGAAAGACGGCAGCCTTTGCTCTTCCTATTCTTCAGGGTATGTTTCTAGCCACAGCATTGCCTTTATTCCGGCGCTTCAAATATAACTAGATTAAATAACTAACACCCCCTCACAGCCCTGATGGAAAAGCCCCAGCCCTTCTTCGGTCTCATCCTCGCCCCAACCCGAGAACTCGCCTACCAGATCTCCAAATCCTTCGAGTCCCTAGGCGCCAGCTTGGGCGTACGAAGCTGCGTCATCGTCGGCGGTATGGACATGGTATCTCAATCGATTTCCCTGGGCAAAAAGCCCCATATCATCGTGGCCACCCCCGGTCGTCTTCTCGACCACCTGGAGAACACCAAGGGATTCTCCCTCCGCAACCTGAAGTACCTGGTCATGGACGAAGCGGATCGACTTCTAGACATGGACTTCGGACCCCTGCTCGACAAGATCCTGAAAGTCCTGCCCCGCGAGCGCCGCACATTCCTCTTCTCCGCGACGATGAGCTCCAAGGTCGAATCCCTCCAACGTGCCTCCCTCTCCAACCCGCTCCGTGTCTCCGTCTCCACAAGCAAATACCAGACCGTCTCGACTCTCCTCCAATCCTACCTCTTCATTCCCCAGAAGCACAAGGACTTGTACCTCGTCTACCTGTTGAACGAATTCGCCGGCCAGAGTACGATTATTTTCACGAGGACGGTGAACGAGACGCAGAGACTTGCCTTCTTGCTGCGTGCGCTTGGCTTCGGCGCTATCCCGCTACATGGTCAGCTTTCGCAGTCGGCTCGTCTTGGTGCGCTGGGCAAGTTCCGTGCTCGTAGTCGGAATATTCTTGTCGCGACGGATGTGGCTGCTCGTGGTTTGGATATTCCGTCGGTTGATGTCGTGCTTAACTTTGATTTGCCGGGTGGTATGTATACCCTGTCTTTCGTTATGGGAGCAATATGGTTGGATTCAGCTAATGTGTTTTATGTGCTATAGACTCTCCCAGCTATGTCCACCGTGTCGGACGTACTGCCCGTGCCGGAAAGAGTGGTCTTGCTATCAGCTTTGTCGCCCAGTACGATGTTGAGGTTTGGCTGAGAATTGAAGGTGCTCTGGGCAAGAAGCTCAAGGAGTATGACTGCCCTAAGGACGAGGTCATGGTGCTTGGTGAGAATGTCGCGGAGGCGCAACGCCAGGCGATCATGGATATGAAAGATTACAATGAGAAGAAGGGAGGCAGGGGCAAGAAGTTTGGTGGTAAACGGTCTCGGGATGAGATGGATCAAGAGGAGGGTTAGGCGTGAAAGGCCTTGACCTCTCGGCTGCATTTTACGAAGTTAATACCCAAAATTGATGATTGTTCACCTGCTTGCTGTGTCGACACGCTTTTTTTCTTTTTATAAAAGTCTAGATGTGCTTCAGTCAACTAGAAATGCTAGAAGAATGTATCTGAAACGTGAAAACGGATCTGAGAACATCAAATGCAACTTCTTTTGCTTCAATGCAGATTAAACTAATTTCATAAATTCATTCGTAAAAGTTCCCAGGATGCTTGCAAGGCAGAACAGAATTGTCCTGTTCCTACACTTGCCGTTTGTGTAAGTATATCTGATATCTTTTTGCAGGAGAATCGGGCTTTGCTATTTAGAGCAGTCCGTCATTCCAAGGCAGTATGGGTTCAAGCAGACTGCAATGTTTCCTTGGCAGTGCCAGCCTCGCGGACGGCGTTCGCGACACGGGTAGCAAGGTCGTCCGCCTCGGAGCGGCTTGCTGCCTCAGCATAGACACGCACCGCATCTTCCGTGCCACTTGCACGGGCAAAGCTTCTGCCCTTGTTGTAGCGGGACTGGAGGGACTCAATCTTAGCCTGGAGGCCTGGAGGCGACTCGAGCTTGCGCTCGGCATCGTAAGCCTTGAAGATGGAGCGGTCTGCAACCTCCACGCGGACAAGTCGCGAGGGAAGGTCGGTGTAAGTAGCAAGCCATTCCTTGGGGCTCCAGCCCTTGTGAGCAAGAATAGCTTCGACCAGGAGCATGTCGGAGATGGCATCACCGACCGCCTGGTTAATCAGGTCAGTAAGAGCCTGGAGGCACTCAAGGGAGCGCTGCTGGGCAGGAGACTGGGGCTCAGTGTTCTTAATGGTCTTCAAGGCGGTCTCGGAGAAAGTAATGGTACCGTGACCGTTGGCCTCGAAGTAGACGCCAACGTCGAAGCGCAGGGCCGCATGGTGCAGATGCTTGACACCAGTGTTGGTGCAAACAGAAGGCAACTTCAGGACCTTCTCGATGTAGTCCGTGCTGGAACCATTGGCGTAAGCGGTCTGGACGACGCCGATCTTGAGCTTCTGCGCAATCCCAGCGCTCCGCGCAAGATCGCCGATGAAGGAGGCCGCAAGGGTGGCAATGCGGTCACCGTCAAGCAATCTGAAAGTGTTGCTCTCGTCGATGAAGTAGTACACGATACGATCGGCGTCACCATCCAGCGAGGCACAGCGGTCAAGAGCAGCTGCCTTGGAGGAAGGCGGAGCACGTTGTTTCGTTTTGACATAATCGGCACCACACTAGAAGCCAGTCAGTATGCAGATAGAAAGCAGGCAGAACAGAGGGGGTTTCGGACTTCAAAGTTCAGGCTATCAGGGTTAATGACATCATCATTAACTATCTTGATATCCATGCCACCCTCCTCCGGGCCGGGCAGGTATTTGATGAGCTCTCTCAGCTTGGGCCCACCAACACCGTTCGCGCAGTCCACGGTCAACGAGCCCTTGACCTTAACACCACGCATAACTCTCTTGAAAGCTTCGGCAAGCTTCTCATAGTAGCCCTGCTCTGTGGGCTCGCCATACTCATACTGGGTGCCCAGAGTGTTCTTGCAGCGCACAACATAGTGGAGCTGAGGGGTGGTCATGTACTTCAGATCGATGAATTCGACCTCCGAAGCGGTAAGGGCGGCATTGATGACAGAGACCAGACGCGAGCCAGAGGCACGAGTGTCGCGAGCGAAGACGACACGAGCGGGGTTCTCCATGCTGACATCGATCTCCTTGATGAGTTCGTCAAAGACATCACCGACCTTGTCAAGCGGGGCATTGGCAAGTCTGGTGGCATAAGTTTCCCACTCAGCCTACAGCGATGTGAGAAAGTCGTCGCATTTCAGTATCCTACAGCTCCGGGAGCTTACCTCCAACATTTCACCCTATACAGTATTAGCCACTTATCATGTCATTGCACATACTCCAAGCTGGCGAGGTTCACAGCGACTCACCATGGGATCAATCAACTTGACACCATTATCTTCCGCGGGGTTGTGACTGGCAGTGACCATGACACCAACCCATTGTCCACTAAGCTTCCTGGAACGAAGCCCAGCAAGCAAGCCCACGGTGAAGACTACGGTGTTGAGGAGATCACTGGCAAAGCGTTGGTCAAAGTGTAAACAAAAGGGCGGTCGCGGGGTATTGTGGAGGCGGGGTCGATCCTTCGAGGTGTTTATCGGCAGGGGAGCAACTTACGCCTTCATACGGAACTGCAAGTAAGGGAGGTAATTAGTACATCTTGTTTCATCTCTAAAGAGTCGGTTTTCATGGAGTAAAGAACTCACCCCCGCGGTACCATATTGAAAGACCTTCCCTTCGGGCTTGGAGTACTGCGACGCCGCTTCAGCGATCGCCTTTCTGATAGCCGGGGACGCCATTGTGGCGCAAACTAAACCAAGGATAAGTTGACTAGCACCAAAAGGACTTGAAAAACTGAGACCTTGGGGGTTCAGGGAACATATAATATGAAGCGAAAGGGGGGGTAGAACCACAATAAAAAAAAACGAGAGAGGGGAAGGGTCAAATAAAAGATTGGGTGAGACACGCTCCGTCCAGCTCAGGTTTAGTTTCCTGCCCCTGTTCCCCTGTTACTGCCTACGTACCCAGGGTCCCGAGCGGTGGGCGGTGAGGCAACCCGCAACAATCATTCATGGCATGGTGTGGTGCAATGCAGAAGCGGGAGGAATGGAGTCGAAGCATTGCATGGCACGGCATGTCTATTCACCTCTCGCTTTTGTCTTAATTAGACTTGGTATTCAATGAACATAACTATAGCAAAAAGAATCGCCCATAATAAATACTAGGAATGCCCAAATTTATTGGCTGATTACCTGGCGCGGTTGGTTGAAAACTACTACTCTATCATATAATACAAGCTACTACTATCCGATCACCTGCACTGGTGATACGAAGCTAGACCAATAGACCGGGTAATCAATGGTCATGCGTGTCCAGATACTTCGGATCGGGCCATTGAGCTGAATCAGGCTTTCAGCCTATCGCCCGCCACATCGTTTTGGACATCCTTGATGAGAAACCTATCGCAATTGTCAGCCGCGTAGTAAACCTATGGTCAGATTCCAGCATAAACTCACAAATACCACCAAGCAGTCGGGATCACGGTTCCAAGGTGCCAAAGGCTATGCGCATCAATCAGCTCATGCCAAGGGGGAAAGTCCAGCAACTCGAGGCTCATAGCCAAAATAATCCACACCACAATCATTCCGGGCCAGGCCATCCATTCCTTGCCGTATTTGCGATAGCGGTGAATACTGAATGCCACCCATAGGATGTTCTGGGCCATGCCTATCACAATGTTTGCGATCATGTTGTAGGTGTAGTCCCACGACCAGAAGCTGAGGTAGCACACATGCAATGTGTAGAGCAGAGCACAGACCGTGGTCAACAGACGACGTAAAGTTGGTTTGTGTCTAGGCTTCTCCTGGTCCAGACGGAAGATCCGAAGAAGTGCAAGGTAGAACCCATACATGACATTAGCCCCCGCTCCAAAGTAATCCAACTTCTCGGTCAAGGACAAGTCCCTCATGTGGAAAACCGCGCTGAAGGTCCAGCATGCCAAACCGCAGTATCCGAAGGCAATGTAATATGGCCGCAGGGAGTGCCAAGCTGGTACCGTCTCACGAATGCGTCCAATCCCATGCCAGTGGGCAAGGAAGTTGAACAAAGAGAAGAGAACGGAGAATGGTTCCTGCATCCCCAGGATTCTGCGGAATGGCCATTTACCATGGAATTGTAATACTGGGTTCAACATGGGAGGATCACGAGCGACACGGCGGTCCGTCACGACATGTTGGCAGGTATAATCGCATTCGGAAGGGCATGTCCACAGCATGAGGCGAAGATGGAGAGCTGGTAGCCAATTGGTTAGTAGCCAAGCTGGCGGAAAGCAATGCTTATAATACTCACGAATTACTTCATTGCCATCCTGGCAATTCTCAGCCTGGCAAACCTGTTCGTTGCTTAGCCATTGGCTCCCGCGTTGTGGATGCTATGAGGTTCCGGTTGATGTACCTTAACGCATTCTTTGAAGTCGGGAAGGTGGTCACCAAGAGAGGCTGTCGAATTACCAATAAGAGCGGCAATGAGAAGGAAAAGGAAGAAGCAGTAAGTACTCCTCCTTATCGTTCCTATAAACATGGTGCTTTTCGTGGTTGTTGTATGGCACTCTAGTTGAGAAGGGAAGCTTCAGGAGTGAAACCAACAGCTTAGACGCTAGACGGGCGGCGTGTAGCTCCGGCGGGGGCGGAGCGGCATCGCGCACGGCAACAATGGAACAACAGCTTGGCAACGCCTGCTAAGGCATTCATCCTCCTTACACTATACGTACTATGTAGATAGTCAGAACTAGAAGCAAGATCATTTCAAGCTCATTTGTGAACTCTACTCAAATTTACAAAGTAGGCAATCCAGCCCCACTTTCCCGGAGTGTGTTTGTTTCAGCACCAGGCTTGGGGTGCTTGTTTCCGTTCATGCTAGGGAATCTTACGCGGTACTACTATGAACCACCAGTAGCATGCAACATACGGAAAACCAGTTGCGCGACCATACGAGTCTTTATATGACATTCGATAAAAAACTAGTCTTGGAATACCGGCATCCCCTAGATATTGTACCGGTGGCCAAATCATTCAATCCTTTCAAACAACAGGCCAGCGCCAAATTCCATCACTAACCGCCAACTGGCATGCTGGCTGGGATAGCCCTAGTCACAACAAAGGGCTAATTAGTCACATGATACGTCCAACTTGGGACTAGCGCTCAGTGAAATGAGCTAACCTTATCGGATTTAGCGGGAATTGCCATCGAGAGGAGAAATTCCTAACAAGGCAAAAGTTAAAAAAAAAGAGGGCCGCGCTTGAAGGGATCTTTGAGGCGCCCATATCTTTTTCTCCATAACATAGCTGTATAGCATTTTTTTTTCTTTCTTTCTTCGGTTTTACCTATCCTTCCCCTTGCACACTCCTCTCTTACTGTGCATCTGCCTCCCTCTTCTTCCTTCTGTCTTATTGACCATCACCAAATCGACCGATCCGCAAATATGGCCGGAGAAGCAGACTCTTCTGCCATGACCACCAGCAGCGCTGATCGCATGGTAGGCATGGACCACGCTGAAGTGCGTTATTTCACGAGGTAAGGCCAAGATAAGAAGTCTTCTTCGCATCATTTATGCTGACAAAAATTCACAGTTATGATCACCATGGTAAATACTCTCAATGACCTAAGTAACTTTAGTCGGATGTGGCTAATCTCGGACCCCGCTCAGGCATTCATGAGGAGATGCTTGTAAGTACAATTCTACCACAACGCCTTGACTATCGCTAACCACCACTGGTTTTCTAGAAAGATGATGTTCGTACTAGATCGTACCGTGACTCTATTTACCAGAACCGTCACATCTTCAAGGACAAGGTCGTTCTCGATGTCGGTTGCGGAACTGGTATTCTCAGCATGTATGTTCAAGCCGATCGACTGGTCAACGATGGGATATTTCTAACACATTTGGTTCAAAAGGTTCGCCGCCAAGGCAGGTGCCAAGCATGTGATTGGTGTCGATATGTCGTCGATCATTGAGAAGGCTCGTGAGATTGTTGCTGTGAATGGCTTGTCGGACAAGATCACCCTGCTCCAGGGAAAGATGGAGGAGGTTGTCCTCCCTTATCCCAAGGTTGATATCATCATCTCCGAGTGGATGGGCTACTTCCTTCTCTATGAGAGCATGTTGGACACCGTTCTCTACGCCCGTGACCGTTACCTTGTTCCTGGCGGCAAGATCTTCCCCGACAAGGCCACCATGTACTTGGCTGCCATCGAGGATGGCGAGTACAAGGATGACAAGATCGGATGTAAGCACACTTCACTTGGCGCCACTATTTTCGATGAAATTGGGACGCTAACGGATTTTAGTCTGGGATAATGTGTATGGATTCAACTACAGCCCGATGAAGCAGATTGCCCTTACCGAACCCCTTGTCGACACTGTCGAGATGAAGGCGCTCGTTACCGACCCTTGCCCCATCATCACCCTTGATCTTTACACTGTCACTCCGGCCGACTTGGTCTTCAAGGTACCCTTTTCGCTTCCTGCCAAGCGCAGTGACTTCATCCACGCAGTGATCGCTTGGTTCGATATTGAATTTGGCGCATGCCACAAGCCCATCACCTTCTCCACCGGTCCCCATGCCAAATACACCCACTGGAAGCAGACCGTCTTCTATCTTCGCGATGTTCTGACCGTCGAAGAGGAGGAAGTTGTTTCCGGTGTTCTCGAGAACAAGCCGAACGACAAGAACAAGCGCGACCTTGACATCAGCATCTCCTACAAGTTCGAGACCACGGATCCGAACCGTTACTCCGAGGGCAGCTGCTTCTACAGGATGTGAGTAATCGTTCCTGTCAGAGTAACTCATCATGTGCTAACCCTCGCAGGTGCTAAATTCTTGGCCATCCCTTGTTTCTTCGGTTGCTTAGCTATTTTGCTTGGAGTCGATTTATGTTCACCAGTAACATAAAGTGGTTCTGCCCTGTGGGCAGCATAGCATTTTAACGGAAGTTCACTTGTATGGATGTCGGTCTGATGGAAGGTTAATTTTGGACTTCCTTTGATTTCAGTCATGCCATTTTTCATCATTTTTCTCGGCGTATACGGAAGGCAAGGCAACGGCATCATCAGTTGGCGCGGTACGGAGAGAAGATTTCCAAAGGACGATTATGAAGCTCCTCGAATTTCCCAAGTAGATACCCCGAGTCGACGCTCAGTCTCACACCTCCGACGTTCTGTCTATGCATTACTTAGCTTCAGGTCCATTAATCTCACGAAGTTCAATTAACCGGTTCACTACCTCTGATAATTTCTTTTAAAGTCTATTCATTCATCTTGCCATTCAGATGATAAGAAACAAAACTTAATGTGCATTGAAAGGTATGACAGTCTCGTCACTGGTAGAAAACAATCAGTAATAGGATAGGGAATGTTCTCGGCCAAATCGGCTGATTCGTGATCGAGCCTCGGTTTGGCCGGAGCCCCGCAACGGCATGGATTACACTAACTGCCCCTTCTGGGGGCCTTTCTCCGCATCAATCTATCTTTGACCTCCCAGAGAAAGAAGCGTCCCCCGTAGGCCCTACCATTGTCCTTAATTGTGTTTGGTGGATTTATCGCATCTTCATCGAACTTCCATAATGTCAACCCCAGGAGCTGGTCATGAATTCCCTCGCCAGGAGGTGTCCTGGCTCAAGCGGGACGCTCTACTTTTTGCCTACAGTATCGGCTGCAAGGCCGATGAGCTGCATTTTCTCTACGTGAGTTCCATTCTATATGCTCATATCAACTACACAATTTTCTTACCGAGGTTCGCACAGGAGCTCCATCCGAACTTTGCGGTCTTTCCCACGTATCCTATAATTCTTCGTATGTATAAATTCCCAGTTGAAACCTACGAAGTGAAGTATCGCTGTGTTTAAGGATTATGTTCCGGATATGAACTCTCCGGGTTTAATGTTTCTCACCTGTATGGCCTGAATGCCTCACTAACAACGTATTAATTACAGCGTTTAAGCTCACTGATCAAGAAGTAACGGACTTCTATGCCCGTTCTGGCGGATCCCCTATCCCTGGTGTTCCAAAGTTCGACTATCGTCGCGTGGTTGACGGCCAGCGCAAGCTCACCATCCTTAAGCCCTTGCCCCCCACGAGCGAGGGTAAGAAGTTCGAGTTGCGCAACAAGGTCATTGGAGTCTATGACAAGGGCAAGCCTGGCACTGTCATCGAAACCGAACAGACTATTGTGGATAAGGAGACAGGCGAGATCTACTCAAGAACTGTTAGCAGCGGTTTCTTCGTTGGCCAGGGTAACTGGGGTGGACCGAAAGGTAAGGCTTCCAAAAGCACTTGTTATATCAAATATCCTTGTTATTGACGCGATGGGTTTTAGGCCCCAGCAATGCCAACTATGCCCCACCTGAAGGCAAGCAGCCAGATGCCGTTCATGTAGTACAAACGACTCCGGAGACAGCCCATCTCTATCGGTAAGATACCGCCCCAGCCACATAAGAGTACTAGCGTAGTGGACAAGGTGGATCCTTGAATGCTGACAATGATACCGCCGATTAGACTCAACGGAGACTACAATCCTCTACATGCTACTCCCGAGCCTGGCGAGAAGATGGGCTTCGGTGGCGCCATCGTCCATGGCCTCTTCAGCTGGAATTCCGCTGCCCATGGTGTTCTGCGAGAGCTCGGTGGTAGTGATCCGAAGAATCTTAAGGAGATTCAAGCGCGCTTTGCTTCGCCAGTTATACCTGGTGACAAGCTTATCACTGAAATCTGGAGGACGGGCAGTCTCCAAGATGGTTATGAAGAAATTCGATTCGTGACCAAGAATGGTAAGGGCAAGGCAGTTCTGAGCAATGGCCGCTGTCTGATGAAGGTTACCAACCCAAGAAGCAAGCTATGATTGGCACCTGTGGTGTATTCTATGAGTGTAGAGATCTGTCACTAGCTGTTTTTCTATTTAATAACCAGCAACTTTATGGATAGTCAATTATAAAATGGAGTTCATCGGCCATCTACTACGTGTACACTGGAATCAAACGAAAGATAAGATCAGAATGGCGGGCCGAGGCCTAATTGACGGCCGCACGTGACGTGGGGCTTGATATGGGGTGACACTGTGGAGATCCATTGTTTCCCATCAATAATCCTCAGTTTTGTGTATAGTAAGATCAAAATGTACAGTGTGGCCAGACTCTCCTTCCTTAGGGCACTTGGTCCCTTGAATCATGCAAGGTATGACGCCCAAGGACTCTCGCACATACAGTGATGATTGACCGAGGTACTAGCACATCGCGTGCCGTGTCATCACTTACCCCGAAATATGTTGGAATGGTAAGAGACAGATCACCAAATCCGGTGAGAGTAGCAATCTGACACCGGGGTGCACTCTTTTCAAAGACCTACAAGTCATCATCCGTCTCAACTCGATTCCCTTCGCTAGTACGCGCGAATTCATCAGTGGCAAATGCCCTGGCCACACCCTCTAGCAGCGATAACGAGGATCCCTGGCCTCTTCACTTGAGGAACCAAAAGTGGGAGGCGTTGCAGCTCGGTCATGAAGGTCAAGCCAGCAACTTGTAAGGATCCCTAATATGGAATCAATTGAATCACGATGCTAATATCACACAGTGGGACGTTTTGGCTCCGGTGGGCATTCCAAAAGCTAGAGTAGCGGATGTGCACGACCAGTAACTTACTTATATTTAGGGACAACTGCCAATGTTCCAAATGCATCCATCCAGACACAAGACAACGAACTGTTGATACGTTTGCGGTGAGTCAGTAAGTTAATGTCTTGTTACGGATGGAGTTACTGATCATTATCTGATACAGATACCTGATGATATCCGTATCAAAGATCTCAGTTATGAGAAGGATGGTGTGAAGGTAGACTGTAAGCGAACATTATCCCGTCATCTTACAGTGGACGTTGACTTTGTAAAGGGTCGGACGGGCATCATGCCTATTATCCATTTCCGTGGCTCAAGAGCCATTCCAACAAGCATGTTTCCAAGCTGGAACCGAAGTCAGAACTACATTTCAGGTACTTCAACCGTTGAGCTGCAGTGGCTACCCTTGCTGAAATACCAATTTGACTCAGAGAGATCAAGTCATACGTTCCGGGCAGAGACACGACATTTCCAACATTTCCTTACGCAGATATCATGGCCGACGATGGTGCTCTGCGTGACTGGCTTGAAGGGATTGTAAGCTATGACTCCATTGCTAACCAGAAAGTCTTGCTTACACTGCGAAGTACGACTGGGGATTTGCTTTTGTACAAGGAGTTCCTACCAACCCCGAATCAACTGAAGCTCTCCTAAAGAGAATTGCTTTCATCAGAAACACTCATTACGGTAAGGCAACATCCTTGGCCGTTACTGTGTCGATTTCTGACTCTCTCCCGTTTACAAGGTGGATTTTGGGACTTCACAGCCGACTTGACCTTCAAGGACACCGCATATACGACAGAATTTCTCGGAGCACATACGGACAACACCTATTTCACCGATCCTGCGAGGCTCCAGCTATTCCACCTTCTATCCCATACCAATGGAGATGGCGGCGCCAGCCTACTTGTTGATGGTTTCCGGGCTGCTTCGATTCTTCGTGAAGAGAGCCCACAAGACTTCGAGGTATTGATGTCAACGAACCACCCTTACCACTCAAGTGGCAATGAGGACGTATGCGTGCAACCGGCGGAGCAAGCTCCAGTCCTTAAGGTTCACCCTGAACTACAACGGCTATTTCAGATTCGCTGGAACAACTATGACAGAGCCGCCAAGAAGAATTGGAACTGGGAGGAACAGGTCAAATGGTATACGGCCGCACGGCACTGGGACGAGATAATTCGTCGCAAAGACATGGAGATCTGGACACAGCTTGAACCAGGGACAGCCCTCAGTAAGTGTTGCAGGGAACGATGTTTGCGAACAGGACTAATTTTCCCAAGTCTTCGACAATTGGAGAATGCTTCACGGTCGCTCGGAATTTACAGGAAAGCGCAGGATGTGCGGTGGATATAGTAAGTATCCTTTACTGCTGTGAATTTCTTTTTCTGAATGTTTTGCTGGCCTTCCGTTACATGCTTCTTGTTATCGTATCCCTGTCCTGAAAAACCAACATGCTAACACTGGACAGTAAACAATGATGACTTCATCTCACGATACCGTCTTCTTAAATTCGGTCGCGAGGAGGTCCTAAGAAACATCGGCAATGACCAGTGGTCCCTGGATAACCCCAACTACTACATTTGAACCTGTTGTTCCGTGGGGGTATGTGCAGGCAGCTGATAACTGTACATTAACATCAGTTGGTTGTTCTAGTGTACATATCCTAGATCCTTTGTAAATTTCAAGGCTTAGAAAAGCTCATTGAGCGTTGTTGGCAGTGTTTACCGAAGCGGACTCGCGCAAGCTATTTGTAATGGTATCACGTGACGTAGGCAAGACAGCTGACGTTGTTTGGCCGGAGCTCAAGCATCACGACTCCAACACAGCTCAAGTTCCCCAACCCTTTCTCTCTAGGTCCATCACCTTCGACAAAACACACCCACCCCCCGATCCAGATACCCTTTCCGCTCTTATTACGATTTTTAACCTCATACGCCCGCACTCTAGTTTTCCACCATGTCGACTTTGGAAGACCTCGACGACCTTGAGCGTGAGCAGAGAGACAAGAAGAAGGACCAGGGAGATGACGGCGAAGGCAGGAAGCCCGAAGGTGAAGGAGATGCTGAGATGAAAGATGCCGATGCCAAGAAAGATGAGGATGATGGACTCTTGGACGAAGAGATCCTTAGCTCGAGTACAGCGGACATCGTCAAGCGACGGCGGATGCTGGAGAACGAGCTGCGTATAATGAAGAGCGAGTACCAGCGCCTGACCCACGAGCAAAACACGATGCGAGAGAAAGTCAAGGATAACCAAGAAAAGATCGAGAACAACAGGTAAGCTCTGAGTCCCGTGGCCTTCGGTTCCGCTGGCGTCTGTTCGACGCGGTGGCAATTGCGCCGCGATTCGGGCCATTTACTGACTGTTTCTCTTGATAGGCAATTACCCTACCTGGTCGGAAACGTCGTCGAGCTTTTGGATTTGGATGTTGAAGCTGAGGCTGCCGAGGAGGGAGCGAACATTGACCTTGATGCTACACGGGTGGGCAAGTCGGCTGTCATCAAGACGTCGACCCGCCAGACTATCTATCTCCCTCTCATTGGTCTAGTAGATCACGAGAAGTTGAAGCCTGGTGATCTCATTGGTGTCAACAAGGACTCATACCTCGTCCTGGATACGCTACCTGCCGAGTACGATAACCGTGTTAAGGCCATGGAGGTCGATGAGAAGCCGACGGAGAAGTACACCGACATTGGTGGCTTGGATAAGCAAATCGAGGAGATTGTGGAGGCTATCGTATGGCCTATGAAGGAGGCTGACAGGTTCAAGAAGCTTGGCATCAAGGCACCGAAAGGTATGTAATCCTTGGTTTCTCCAGCCTAGCACGGGCTTTCTGACATACTTCACAGGTGCTCTAATGTATGGACCTCCCGGTACGGGTAAGACACTTCTTGCCCGAGCCTGTGCAGCAGAGACGAACGCCACATTCCTCAAGCTCGCCGGTCCGCAGTTGGTGCAGATGTTCATCGGTGATGGTGCGAAACTTGTTCGTGACTGCTTCGCCCTTGCCAAGGAGAAGGCACCTTCCATTATCTTCATCGACGAGCTGGATGCGGTCGGTACGAAGCGTTTCGACTCCGAGAAGTCCGGTGACCGTGAAGTGCAGCGAACCATGCTTGAACTGCTCAATCAGCTCGACGGATTTGCCTCGGATGATCGCATCAAGGTCCTCGCGGCCACGAACCGTGTTGACGTTCTCGATCCCGCCCTGCTCCGTTCCGGTCGTCTGGACCGCAAGATCGAGTTCCCGCTACCCAACGAGGAGGCGAGAGCCAACATCTTGCAGATCCACTCCCGCAAAATGGCCGTGGATGACCGGGTTAACTGGGCGGAACTGGCCCGCAGTACCGATGAGTTTGGCGGTGCTCAGCTGAAGGCTGTGTGCGTGGAGGCGGGTATGATCGCTCTCCGGAAGGGCATGAGCAAAGTAGGACACGAGAACTACGTGGATGCCATTTCGGAAGTACAGGCGAAGAAGAAGGACACGAACATGGGTATCTATGTCTAATTCGGTCATCGTCACGATTATCTACATGATCTCCGGGTCGTCATTATGCTATGTATCTACTCCTGCTGCAGCTTAGAGGATGCTATTACATATGTCTCCCTTGGCTGAAGATGCTATTACCTCTTTCATTTTCTCGTAATTATGCCGCATAATCAAACCGAATTCAAAGCCAAGCGGAGCAGCCTCTCAAATAATTAAAGATCGCATCAGGGACTTTGGGCACCCGTCTATAGAATCCATGCTAAAGCAGGTCAGGTGATGCACCCGCCATGCATCTCAACCGCAAGTTTCCTATCACGCTCATCATCTCACCACCCGAGCCCTCCTCAAGTCCAAAAGATGCGTGCTTCCACATTCTACCACACCGCTTAAAAAGCCAGCGTCTTTTGCACGTGCTAATCCTCTTCCCACTTCGTCCTGATACAAGCTGTTTCCTGAAGTGAGAAGAGGAAGGGCCAAGAAAAGCGGACGATGACAGCCACCAGAGACCAATCGGTCTGAGAACCTACTTACTGACAAGCCAGTTCAACCAAGAATGAAATGATCAGCAAACGTACATGCAGTTTCTCTACTCTACTGATCCTGCCATAGCAGAGCCTAGGCCCACTTTTAGAACCAGACTGCAGAGCCCGTATTCTTGTCGTTCTATGAAGTGGTAGAAGCCCGAAGATCATTACTAAAATAGAGTATGTGAGGTGAGGAACTCAACTATTCTCCGTTATATCGGGCTTGTGGCTGATTGAAAGCTTAGGGGATCTGCATGGCTGTTTGGTGCCGATGTCATGGTGCCATACCCGGATGTCCATTCAAAGGGCCCACTGTGTCTGTGTACTATAACTGACGAGTAACGCCACTAAAGTTGCAGCCGGCGACCGAACTTGCTCAATGATATCATCTCCCTGGAAAGGTTGATAGGTGGAATGGGCGCAATACTTGGTGTGACTTGTGATTGGTGTCTCAAGTTGATAAGTATCTTACACCTCTACGATTCTGGAACTAGGTGGCGTCGCGAAACCAGATGACCAGTTCAGCCGTCTCCTAAAGGTTATTCAGAGAGCGATGGTGCGCTCTGCCTTGCTATGAAAGATAGCCACAGGATGACGACAGTAGATCGTCGCACAATCCTTAACCGGCGAGATAGCCAGTAGAAAGCAGCAGCACACAGACCAGGTCAGGCCTAGTGCCAGAGCATACATTGCTCGGAGAATATGGCCGTCAGTTACTGCGTTCTGTGGCTTGAAGTCCGTGACCTGATCGATTAGAGCTTGCTGTGCCTCTAATATTTGACATGATTGAGTAGGACTGGACAAGTGCAACCTCCACGGGGAACTGGATTACCCCTGAGAAGTACCTGCTCCTCCGACTTTGTGGGTGAGGGCTGCTTGTTCAGTTCGCTGAGGATGGAGCGGTATGATTTGTGTCTAGCCAGGTCAACTCTCATAGGCTGTTCCGCGAGCTACCAACCCCGTCAATTCCCAGAGCTGTAAAGCTGCTCGCGTGACGTATGCTGACTACATTCAAACGCCTCTGTCATTGTGATTTCTCGTTTCTTATCTCACGCCGTTTCCAAACCGTTTGCTCTGAGCCTTCTGGACTCGTCAGCTCGCTCTGACCGCATCGATGAAGCTTCTGAGGACGGGTTGTTCCGGATAATCACAGGATTCAATGTCTTTTTGTGGCTGAAGGCTCCCTACAGTACGGGGTGGTATTCGACCACCGGGTCCGGAGCACCAGCGCCTCTCTTCTCATCCAACGGCGAAAAGCTTAAGGATGAATAGATCACACTGGTCAACTTTTCAGCATTTTTCCAGCTTCCTCCACAATAACTCGTTTCGTTGGCTATTCGTGTGCTTAATAGGCCACTGCATAAGTAGCGGCGATTCATGTTTTCAGCAAGTCGGCCATCTAGTTTTGGTGGCAGTATACATGTTGCGAGATCCTACAGCTCATTCATAGAATTGCCAGGTCTATTCGAACCATCTAGGATACATATGGCGGCTTGGGCGGATAGAGAGAAAGTGCCTAGAGGCAGAAGAGCAGGAAGCGGTCTAGATGAGGCACTTGGTAGGCTATGTCTCATATTCTTTCTTTCCGGTCTCTCACAGTGAGCAGCAGTCCCCGTTTGCTCGCCAATTTTCCGTTTCTTTTTTTGGGATTTTCACGGATCGGCCCCAAGCCTTGAACCTAGTTCACTGGACATGGATAGCTTGCCTTGAAAGGCTTGGCACCTGCATCCATCGTTTGGGTACCATGGATGGGTTGTCTCCATCTTACTATGCTCCCTCTGGGATTCAGCTAATTGGCACAGTCCCCTATTTTTGCACCACATCTTCCATCTCAATGATGTCAGTGTGAATCCGTGTTTATAGCTGGCAGACTTCTTTTCCCCTTTTTTTTCTTTGATGCGGTGAGTGAGAACCTACTACCTCAATCAGCCTGGAGCGGAGACCATCTTCCGCCCAACCATTGAGTGTTCAACTGGACATGGTGTAACATAAGCTGTTCCTTTGGACATTTGCTGCAAAACTCAAACAACATGGGCTGCGGCATTTCAGATCGAACGACTTGTTTCCATCGGTGCCATCTCTTCTCTTGCTGCTTCAGAGCTGCATGAGGCCAGTTGTTTGGAAGCGCGAAACCTTAAAACTCCCAAGGTGTCTGCTCCCGTCTTTCAGAAGATGGACGTCTGACAAGCGAACCCTCGGTTGCAGCTCCGTATTGATGCCAGCGCATCACTTCGCTATCGTTGTGGATGCAGACGGGCTTGTGCAATGCGGAAATGAGAATCTTCGCCGTAGGTGAAGGAAGAAATAAGTTGGGAGATGGGGACAGCAGGAAGCGTACTCCAGCCTGCATTGGACGTCTTACCACCCCCTGGGGCCCTCTAGTATCTATTATAAGTATCAAGAATTCCCTATGAGAAGCCAAATTGCCAGACATTTCTCCTCTACAATCTTAGTACCTCATTCTTATCGTAATCTACACTCCGTTTTGAACCGTTAACAACAATGAACTGCAGTGAACCCCCCCGCCCCCTCGACCTCCTCCACCCCACCAGAAACCTCTTCCTTCAAGATGATCCGCCGCGCAATGCCCCTTCTTCTGGAGAATCTGAGTCAGCACAGAGAGTTTAGGGAGTCAAAAGTACTTGTTATTGGCGACACGTGTAGTCAATATCATTTACCAGAATATCGAGTCGTCGACCCTGATGAAGTATGAGATCAGCTCCTTCACTTGTTTTTTTCCCATCACCCCAAGCATCCCATACCCTACCCGCCACCCCTTCTCCAGGACAAAGCAAAATAGCCCGCTAACAACTTGTATCTAGCTGAAAATCGATTTGATGGTACAAACATCCGATTGGACCATGAATACCTTGCGAGGAAAGCTGGTCAATGGCAATCCAGCGGTTTTCCAGCTTTGTAGTGGCAACGGCAACCCTTTCATAATGACCATCGCGTGGGGTAATGAAAACGAATTTCGCAGAGATATCAAAGTTGAAATCACAACGTATCATCGTACTGCGCAAGCCCCGCATCAAAGTGATGATTCTAGGTCCGACGTCTATGCTGCAGAATTCGATGAGACCCTTCCTTTACAGTATTTGCAGTCTGAAGATCAACTTTTCGCCAGGCCTTCGTTTGCTCTCTTCTCGGAGGTAACTAAGCCGCACAAAAGCCCCGATGTGATATGGGCACTGGCCAAAGCGCTAGAGCCTGGACACGTTTGGGATGAGCCCCATTTGGCTATCCTGGAAGACAATCTTGACAGGATCCGGCTTACCGAGCAAAAGGGCAAGAGAAGGCCCCTGGAGTGCTGGAGAGGAGCTCTTCGCCTTCCTCCCGTTGAAAAGAAATCCTCTGATTCACCTCCCCTGTCTACAACGTCTTCTAAACGTTCCAGGAGTTATTGGTGCCTTATTTCTTGTGTAGCTGTCCTTTCTCTTTATTTTCTTCTCATGGTTCTGTATCGTGACGCAAAACCTGAGAAATCAGGTTTTCTGCCCTCATCCTTATTCTCTCGTAAGGCGTCCAAAACCCCCTCGGGACGACTCGCTTATGTATCTAGTCTCTTTACTTCTTGGAGGACTGGGTAACAGAATGACTCAATTTAAGGGGGTGAAACATCACTCCTTGGGATACATATTTGTTGCTTTCACTGCCGTAGATAAAAGAAGTTCCATTGCGACGTGGAGATCAGTCGGTTCCTCTGATACCTCTAGCAAGATGTAGAGGATGGAATCTATCTTGGTCTACATTGAACATGGTTGTAGTAAGGACGTCTTCATGCGGAAAGTCCAGCCAGTCTGTGGATCGAGGTCGAGACCAGATAGTGGAGGTCTCCGGTTTTCAGGTGGGGATGTGGTCTCCACGGGGGAAAATATGCTCAAATGTTTCACTTATAGGATGGCCATGTGCCATGGCATAGCATAGTCTAGTGGTAACTTCAAGAGGGGTGAACGGAGTAGGCGTCCTGAACCATACACAGTAGGCTCAGGATGGGTAATACATAGGAGGATGCTTATCATGTGGACCCCTCGTGGTAATTGCCGATCCAAACCCATCGATAGATGGATGCATTTGGCCCAGGTGGATTGGCTAATGAGGAAGAAATATTAATTAGTACCAGACAAATAATAGTACAATGTAAATAAGCAGTAGTATTTCAATCTTTGCAGGTGACAATTGAAAAGTGGTACTTAACCAGTAGCGATGATTGGTTGGCCGATGTCGGGCCCGAGCAATTCTCCGCTAAGCCTCTTGCAGTGTTGGAGACAGGGAGAAGCTTGCCCGACCAGGTATCAGGTCCGAAATCCACAGAAAGCTGAACGTCGTATGATGACATCTATGAGTGCGTATCGTTCGCCGTCTCATCACCCGTTAGAGGTGGTTGAATTTGCTGTATGCAGCTAAAAGGTCCACTTCCACAATATGAGAAGTAATATCCCCAAGGAGCGTCAAAATATAGAGTGCCCGTGTGGCCTGCCCACATTTTGATAGCAACAACGGTGGGAAGATCAGATATCTTCTGTGATAGAGTCTGTTACTCTTGGATGTTTGGCCGGAAGAGTACTACCGAGCCCTACCTCAGTCAGACAGGGGAGAAGGGCGTTTACCCCGTACAGACGAGACGGTGGTTCCAAGGGGCTCAGTACTAGCATCTTCTGAGTAGGTATTATCGGTGGGGCTGGCACAGTAGCAGATACTGAGCTTCGGGACTTCCGAAGACGGCTTCCAGCACCGAAGGATGCTCACCATACGTACACAAGCTTTCCGAATCAGGGAACCGTTCTTCTGTTGAGGCATATCAGCAAATATGCAGGCCACCCTCCCTGGGTAGCTGAAGTGAAAGGCAGCTAAGAGTGTGCTGTTTTGTAATGCAGGTAAACTTATAGTGATGTCTCCACACCAAAGGAGAGACTTGAAAGGAAGATATTATGAGAGCTTTACGACGCCTTGGGTGCCCTTGTTGGCGGCCACAGAGGCTGACAGAGACGCCAGCATGCTATCGTACTTCAAGTGCACTTTTCATCCACCAGGGCTGAACGTTTGAAGTCAGTGGAGAATAAGACATGACGCTCGTCTAGTCGTTGAGTACGGGTACTGACTTGACTAGACTACTGCTTTTATTCCCGTGGTAGACAGTCAAAAAGTAGATGGACGAGACGGAATTGGCAGAGCGAACATTGCCACCTGACAGTGGAGTCAACAAACGGGGCTTAACTGTGATGACTCTCCGTCAGTCAAGTGGAAATACTCAACAAGGGGTGACTAACATAGTGTGAGTGTGTGCAAGTGGTGGGGATAGACTAGTTTGTTGGTGGTTCCCAGATTCAGATAACGGGTGGCCCAGTGCCCACCGGGCATGACCGTCTCCACTCCCCACCTCGCTTAGGCTCTCAAACCGTAGAGAGTAGATCTAGACTAGATAGATCTGATGGCCTATCTCCTAGTCAGCCCCACCGTACGAGATCTGCGTGGGAGGCCTTTTCTAGTACACACTCTCTTGGGTGGGTGTCTTTTGCCACCCCCCTCGGACTGACGAGGCCATTGGAAAAAGGTCCATTTACTTACTGTGTACACCGCAACCACTTACTAAGGGCTGGTTCTGCTGGCCAGCCAAGTTAGCTGTGAGCTACTATGGAAATTATCCTGTTAGACGGCTGAGCTGTGCCGTGGCATCGCCTGTCAGCTAGTTGGCTAAGTGAACAGCCTATGGTTAATAAGCACTTGGTAACCAAGGTGGCGAGTGATGCTTTTACCAGATTAAGTTCAGATGAACACAACTAGACTTAATGAGGCAAGGAGGTGCATCTATCCTTCGGACACCTTCGGCCGGGGCGTTAATCTGGTCAGCGGTGGGTTCTTTACTATAATCGATTGAACTGGGCCAGTTTGGCTGTCCACATCTCCGTATTATCTCCCCAAAGATCGAGGCGTGCTGCGACGTTCGCGATGGGATGAATTATCAGTCCAACGCTTAATTCCCCGGCGAATCATGCGGTCGAACGCCCTAGTTCCGACTCAGTACATAATATCGTTGAGGATGCCTGATGCATGACTGGAATTACCATTAACGCTCCAGAATATGCCCGTCAAAGAAGATTCGCGCAACTCCGCGGATTTGAGAGTACGACTGGCTTGGCCTTCGGAATGGCCGTCATCAAGTATTGAAGACTCATACTATCCCGTTTTGGGGTACCAGTACTGTCGTTGTCTGTTCACACCTTAGACGAAAAGTATTTCGCTTTTTACTGAGTTGGGGAATGTGCACGACTCCAATACAACGCGCGGGCCAGGATGTGGCTCCTAATCTGTCCCATATAATCCGGTACTCTCAACAGGGAAGGGTGAAGGAAGAGTCAAAGATTTCATCATGCCATTTAGATATTTCTTTCGGGGTATCGAACCTAAAGAATCTGCTCGACCCCGGGCTTAACCTTGTAATTGGTATTTTCATGCTCACCCAATTGTTGTCGGTAAACTAGGACCAGCTGGATCCACGTAATCTGATGCTGGTAATGATAGGTCAAGGCCTCCAATGTCCCACGTGGACCAAGGCTCCAAGAGGCTAAACGTGGAGTCCGGGTTTGTATCGGTCTCCCGTCCTGGCACGGGAAATGTGCTGAAATTCGGGAGTAGATCAGCTCCGGACATCGGCTCTTCAGCAAGGGTAACTGGGTGGGCTAATTCGTCGGATTGGTGGTAATCCAGCACTTCTGCATATCTGTATGCTCTGTGTTAGGAGATGGTACGCATAGATTAAAGACACCGGGGAAACGTGCATCATAAGCTTGAGGGTCTCCTTGGAGAGTCGAGCGCCGTCGAACGACCAATCGAATGGTCTTTCGACGCTGGGCTCATCAGTAGGGTCATGATATATCTGCAAATAGCGGTGCTCTAAAGCATTGCTGGCCGATATCCTGGCGTGTGGGTCGAAGACCAAGAACTTGTCGAGGAGGTCCACGGCTGTACCGCAAGTCTCGGTAAGTAGGGGAGTCCATCATCCATGCCTAAACAGAAAATCACATACCAGCTTCATCGACGCTCGAGAACATTGTCCTTAGACAGCGTGGCTGTCTATTCCCAAGTGACTTAACTATCTGTACCGTCTATCATTCAGGTGAGCATGGGACTGTTATAATGGTGGTTTCTCGAAACGTACGTTCTTACTGCAAATTCGATCGATGACCTCATCAGGAGGGTTGCCCAAGAGGTCGATAATCAAGTAGAATTGATTGATATGGTCCTTCCCGGGAAACAGGGGCTTTCCAGAGAGCATCTCGGCGAGAATGCACCCGGTACTCCAGAGGTCTACCTCCACGCCGTATCTCTGCCATGTCAGCATGATTTCCGGTGCTCGATAATAGCGTGTAGACACATAGCCGGTCATCTGATGTTCCTTCACTCGTGCGAGCCCAAAATCGCATATCTTCAGGTCGCAATTCTCGTTAACTAAAATATTGCTAGGCTTGAGGTCCCGATGGATAACGCCGGCGGAGTGGATGTACTTCAGACCACGCTATGGAGGCTAAGTTAGTCCTTTCTGGGCATTGGTACTCTGTTGGGGTTACCACTCCGCTGACTTACCAAGATCTGGTAGGTAAAGTATTGGACAAACTGGGGTTCCAGGGGTTTAGATCTCATCAACCGATTCAAATCCGTCGCAAGGAGTTCAGTCACTAAATATCTGAGAGATAGTGGTCAGTGCCAGTGTGATGGCATGGAGGGTTTGTGGGTACTTACATGTCCTCCAGTGGAGAGACAAAAATGTCACAAAGACCGATGAGCTGTAGATTGTCAGAATGAAGAAGGCGTCTTGAAGGTAGATGGATTGGGCCTGCCATACATTCTCGTGTCGAAAATGCTTCAAGAGTTTCACCTCTCGAAAGGTACGCTTTGCCACTGTGGCAGTCTCGAACGGCTTGATGACCTTTTTAATGGCGACTGCCTGTCCCGTAATCTGATCATGTGCCGAGCTGAATTGAAATGTCAGCCATACCCTCACTCACCCTCACTCACTCACAATTCCTCTCTCTCCCCCTTCCCAGTAGGAATCAAGGAAAAAACAGGGCAGAGGCTACCAAACAAGGCCATACACCCCCAAGCCAATGGGTTGCAAGTTTCCATATCTACCCAACAGAGTTACGGTCAAGGTCAGACTTATTCCTTAGCGTCAAGTTACTGCTAGCTGAACCTACCGCTTTGTAGACTCGAATACCGTGCCTAGGAACTCGGAGCGGTTGAAGCCTTCCATGTTCTCCGGATAGTGTTCTGGGTTCTGAGACAGAGAAAGAAGAACAGATGAGCGTTTATGATCATGACCTGCAGTGAAACAGTTATTATGCAGCATTATAAAGCCATGGCCTGCCGTGTCAGTTCGGGATAAGGCCCCAAATCGACAGAACCACCGAGCTTGAAGTCGTCCCCACCCTCCATCTCCGTAATAGGAGCCAGGGACCCGGCCCCATGAGGGGAGAGAGGGGGACAGAGGCATGGAGCAAATCAAGGAACTTGGATCCTTGGGACACGAAGTTCCCTGTTTTAGCCGTTTTTTCTCCTGACTGTCGTATGTACAGACGTGCTTTTGGCGCATAAGCGTCTTTGGCTACAGCTGGTGCTCCATGGTTGAGAGGGTGGGTCGACGGGCGAGACGGAGTCAGCCGTCTAATAAATTCAACTGCTGTCTCTGTTACCGGAAGCATTACCCGGCAGCCACGCGAAAGATTGTCTTGTCTGTCTAGTCACTGACTGTACACGTGGTGATGGAGCCGTTGTTTGTCTCCAAGTCTGCTATGGATTGGTATGAACCCTGTGTCTGGCCCGTTCGAAAAGAGCACTGGGCGCCAACCACCTTCAGCACCCACCCAAACGAGTAATCACCACGGACCATCCCTTGCCCAATTCTGATAACAATCTCTATCTTTGTCCAATTTTCAAGTCTACCGGAACATACGATCTAGGGCAGTCCTATATTCACGGTCAGTGTGTCAGATCTCGGTCAGCAGCCCGCTCGAGCAACGCGATAGGCAGAGAGTCCCTAGTCAATCTACTTAACTTATTATCTGAACCTCCAACAGCATCTGATCGGAATCTGTCTTCCGCGTTTGCCACCCTGCCACGTAAATTTAAGCCTGTGGCAATGGCCAGTGGAGACTCCAGGATACTAGCAGTAGTTCCCTAGCAAGGATCATCAATGGGAAGCCCAGAACGATAAGCAAGCAGAACAGAGTTATATTCTGGTAACTATTCAAGTCTATTGAAGCGCTTTTCGAGTGCTTCTGGTTTGTTCGCGGGTTGCTTTTGCAGGGGTTAGCATAGTGTGTGCTGTGGGGAGACGGCAGGGGATAGGAGTAGGGTTTGAATAACAACAAGGGCTGGTTCAGTACCACAAGGAGCACACCTTCCCTTGGCCTACTTTTTTTATGGTCTTGATACGTGCAGAGATGACAGGGAGTGGGAGAGGACTGCCGACTACTTCCAAGCAGGCTCTGAGCCATTTCATGCAAGAGTACACGGTAATTCAGAGTTAAGCCAATGTTAATCACGATGTCGTCCAGTTTTAGGAATACTAAGGAATACGACAACCCCGAAGGCCATGATAGACCCTAGTAACGCCTGCCATGTTCATCAAGCCCCAAATGCGGATATATTTTCCGGTCCTCACCGATTATCTCATGCCACAGTTGCTTGTTCTAATACATACACCTTCTAGATCAGATATAGAAAATACTAGTGTAGTAACCACTCGCTTGGTAGATTTAGTGAGCAGGTATCTCTGTAAAATTACGTCAAGACAGAGCCAGAATGTCTGTGGTGTCGCGCAGCTATGTGTTCAGTACAAAGTAGTATCTCTGACCGGGAAAGCGCTACAGCTGAAGTGATATAGTAGTGCATACAACATCCATTCGTTATTTAGCATATGCCATTCGATTCTCTAATTGTCTCATCCTTTTTTTTCTTCTGACTTTTTACTAAGAAGCTGGGAAAGTGGGTTTCTTTACTTTCTCTTCGGGACAAACCAGGAAAAGGAAGTGTACTCCTTACTAAGGATAGACGCAAAGGGAAGGGCAGGCATCTGGATCACTAATTTCTAGAAAAAAACCTGGTAAGTAATCATGCTCTATATTAAAATGATACATTTGATTTCTGAAGCCTAAGCTCACCCCATCTAGCCCCTCTGTTCGATAAGCTCTCGATGGAACCATCTTCTGGTGGGAAGAGCGGAAAGGAGGAAGGTATCGTGGATAAGTGAAAGATCGACTCTGAAATTTAACTGGACATGATCTCAAAAATCCAGTCTGCCTCTAACCACAACCTTCTGTCCTCGAGACTCTTCTTATACCTTTCGCTATCGAACGGGAAAACAGGGTCTGGCATAGAACCAGCTTCCTGCCATTCTTCCCACAACCTGTCCATCAACAAGTGCTTGTAGTTCACTGTGTTACGCCTGTCCGTTTGCTCTATATATAAGGTGCGAAAAGGTGGTTGAATGAGGTCAATGTGAAAAAGTTCCGGAGGAAGTAGCCTTGCAAGTCGTTCATTAAACTCCACAATATGATGGTACCAGTATTCGTGAAATCTTTGGTCTGTACTCAAATCTCTGATATGCAGACTAAACAATGACTCTATCCATCGCGCTGGAGTGAGCAGCTTTATGGGATAGAAGGAGTTGCCATAACCATCCATATCCCAATAAGGAAGACGGCGGTCTGTAGAGAGAATGAAATTAGGGTCATTGGGCTCAGGAAATTCAAGGGGAAGATCGGGCATGAGCCAGAGCCACTGGGACTTCCGGAGCAGACCGACAGGGTAGCACAGTCTGGAGTTCAAATAGTGATGGAAGTGTTTGGCAGGCCACGGGAACGCATAATCGTCAACATCAGTTGGGAGATTGGCCCAGCAGCAACCAGACCAACCAGCAGTACAAGGATTCTCGGATAAACCAGCAACTCGCAACGCTCGTATAGCGGCATCCAGGCGATCGTCTGGAACCACGAAGCAAATTGAAATAGACTATTGTCGATCAGTTAGCCTTGTTCATTTTCTTTCTCGGTGTATTATATGGTTGGTTTGCCTTACAGTCGCAAGATGCTCTATCTCGTAATGCCCGTCCATCAAATCTCCGCAGGCCACATAGGGAATCTTAGCATGATCCAATAATTTGGCTATCTGAGATCCCCGTTTGAACCGGCCTGAAGGATCGTACTCAGCGGGCCATAACATTGATTTCCAACCCATCTTGAATATGAGACAAAGGTGGTGTAGTGGTGTTGAAGAGTAACTATCCCAATCAGTATCAGACGCTGGTCTTTTCAGGTTGTAGTTCGTTCACTCGCTGCTGGATGTCATGACCTCTTGCGTCTATTTATGAAAGGGGATGGTGATGGATTTATATCCCAGCGTGCCTAAAGCTAGTTATCCATATTCATGGAGTTTACATCAGGTGTACATGGACTTTCCGAGTTCCTTCTGCTTGTTTCATCCCATTTGGCTTGATGGAAACTCTTCCTATGTTGAAAAGTCATTGCCTCAACTTGTGCCTTGAATGGTAGGTGCAGCAGTCGCATCCAAGATGTCGGGGGGTCCCTACTGATCTACTGCTGTGCAGACGTGAATGACCATCAGCAGTACCTGCTCTCAGATCAGCAGCACATGAAAGCAATAGCATAAAGTATGCACAAGCCTTTATCATGTGCCTTAGTAGATATGCAGTGGGTGTTCCCAGCCATCAATGTGTAATTGTGAGAACAAGTCACGGCCCTGTCTTTACATATTCGTATAGTAGACGCACACTCCCTCTTTCCTCGCTCTTGATTCTCTTCTCGTGACATCCCAGACGGAAATAGAAGAAGGGAACGCATCATAACCATCTGGAGATTCCAACATGCGCCAATTTCATCATCTCACGAAATCCAAGACTGAACGTTCACATGACCAAAGACATACAACGGCTCTAAAATAAAGTTTCTGAATATTCATGCCGCGGATGTCCGTAAGAATGTCAAAAGTATTAAGAAAAGCATATTGGATAGCGGCTTTAGACCGTCATCAAGTCAGGGGTGGCTGGATTATCTGTGAGGTAAGTAGATGGGGAGAACATGCAATAATCGAGAATGTTTGAGGGGCTTGAACTAAATAAAAGGGCTGCGTAAGAAACTTCCGAATTCAAAGAGACAAAAATAATAAACAAATAAAAGATAATGAGGTCTGACCCAGGAAGAAGATTACGTTGAAGTGGATGATGGTGCGAGATCGATTGGTGTCCGAAAAGAACGGGGAAAAAAAGAATGGGGCAAGCCGGGCTTGAACCGGCCACCTTCAGATTTACAGAGACATCCTTTCGGACGAAGCCTGTGGGCCGAAGTTAAAGCTTCAGTCTGACGCGCTCCCAGATGCGCCATTGCCCCGATTATGTGAAATACTGTATATTTTTTCTATTCTTGTAGGCCCTTTTGCAAATGTCAAAGTATACATTATGCAGCGAATCCGACCGCTGAGTGGGCAGTTTTCGCACTATATGTTATTTTTTCTTGTACTTATTATTCTGGGATTACTTTTAGCAGACTATAGTGGTGTTATTTATGGGTAATTGTGAATTTGAGTTGGCTGGCACGGCTGTATACTGAGGCATTTACTAACATTAGGCGCCGTCGACCGTCTCCGACTAATGGTATTTGCACCAAGATCGATATGATGACATTGACATGCATCTAACTGTTGAACTTGACTAAGTCTTTTTCAGTTTACTGTATTGCAACTGACGCAGATATGCCCCGTACGCAAACGCCTAAACTGCTCGTTCCCTGCCCAGTTCTTCAGAAGCCATGGAGTTCATTAAGAACATCCCAACTGAAACAATCAGGCTCTATAACATGTTAAACAAAACCACGTACTGCCCATCACTTCACTTCATGGTATATCAGTCTACCATGCCTCCAAAGCAAGTACTCAATTGCTTCTTACTTTCTGCATCCACCTCAGCCTCAAGAAGCTCCCAAACCGGCGAAATTCGCTCTGCAATATCACCCCACCCACGCGACTGCTTCAACACTTGTCCTTCCCTGACATACTCCAAGGCAAACTATTCCCCACAAATTGAGTTAGAACATGGTATTTGAGCCCCGTCTGAATATTGCCGTAACCTTCACAGGAAAGGAATCTTCCATCACCAGCATACAGCCAACCCACCAACTAACGAATTACATAATCGACCAGAAACTCTGATGAACATTGACTAACCATATACGGCTAGCGCAATCTACAACAACCCCACAACATCTCCTCCACCCACAATATGCAAATTATCCACAGTCAAAAATCATAGAGATAAAGAAAAAAAATTCACAACAAAAAAGGATGGGGCAAGCCGGGCTTGAACCGGCCACCTCCAGATCTTCAGTCTGACGCGCTCCCAGATGCGCCATTGCCCCTTGATTAGTGATCATTGTTTAGGGTTTTGACAATATGAGGGAGGAGTGGTGGTTAGAGATGCTTACAGCAGGCATATGGAGCAGATTGATCGATTGACTCATGCCTTGTGAGGTATTTCGATGTCCTGGACGTGGTTAGTAGGGATAGTACCACAGAACATTTTATTCCTGCATAATGATGGACTTAGTACTACAATTCACATGTTTTCCGATACCATTCTAATATGAACTTGCCCGCGCCAAGAGATAGACAAAGAGAAAGTTATTAATGGAAAGCAGATAAGGACAAACACTAACTAGAACATTGTTCATTCTATCTCTTTTCAATCCTCATTGTTCCATTATCCGGCAAGGTACAGTCAATGGACTTGCCTTCCTACCCACATAACCTTTCATTAACCACTTACCAGTCTAAGTACTCCTAGAAAAGACCAACCCTACTCTATAGTCCATCCCAAATGCTTTAGAATAATTTTGATTTCTTCTCCACAGTATGTCTAGCCTCATATAGCGCTCTTTGGTCGCCAAAGTATCAACCAATGGGGCAATGGCGCATCTGGGAGCGCGTCAGACTGAAGATCTGGAGGTGGCCGGTTCAAGCCCGGCTTGCCCCATTCCTCTTTTTTATTTTATTTTTATTTTCTTCGTTCTTTTTCACCTTTTCAATTTGATTCATTCTTTTTCGTTTGGTGTATGTATGTATGTATCATTCTTTTATTTACGGAGTAACATTGAAATGGTAGATTGTGCGTCGTCCAATCTTACTTCCATCCTTTGCAGTTTTGTGATGAAGTGACCTTGTAGGTGAGAAGAAGGGGAGCATTTTTACTGTTTCTTACATATATATAAACCACTTGTTGTGAAGATATTAAATCCCTGGGTATATATTGCTTATCTAGTACTATCTACTACTTAATGTGAAGTATGTTCTTGTTGGATGTCCATAGTTATGCATTAAGCACTAGGTATATATACTGATCAGTCTGATCGTAAGTACTGTAAGTATACAGGAAAACGAGATGTAAAATCGACAAATGCCACCCCAGATGATAAGCTGTACAAAAGAAGACACATGGATATACAAAATAAACAAGAGCTGCAGCATTATGTAATTGCGTTGCTCACGCCGGTGCCAAACACTATTAGACGGAGATGACCCGGATGATAGGAATTCATGCGGTATGTGAACCACCAACACACGAGAGAGAGAGATGCCAATTAATGAGATAGAGATGGTAATAGCCCCTGCTGCACCGGGTATGTCGAGGCCAGAAAATTTCCAGAGAAATAAGAAGAAAAAAAAATATCCACAATTGATGAGATCGTCCATCCATCCGTCAATCCGTAAACGCCGTTTCTGCGTGTATACCAACAGACAGCATGTACCATAGCATGCCATTCTTGAGAAAAATAAAAGTACCAATGAAAGGTAAAATCAAATGCACGTCACCGGTGATGTACATCAACCTGACTAGAATAGTCGCTTAACGTCAACTATTTCGACGTTTCCTGGGCGGTCTCGTTCCATGTGGAACCACCAGTCCCTTCCACTTTTGTGGCTATAATTCCATGATCCGGTGCAGGTATCTCGGTCCCAAGGGAGTGCCGTCGTAGACGAAAGACTCATCGGCGTCGCTGGTGTTGTAGGGGTGTTTGGACTGGTGCCCAGCGCGGACCGACTGCCGATGCTGCCCCATCCAAAGCGTGAGGTTGTAGTTGAGGTCGGCGATGGCGGCTCTTCGGGCGCCGGTTTCGCGTGGCCCTTGCCGCCAAAGCAATTTACTCCAACTCCAGCAGCATATGTAAGGGACTGGCTGGAGGCCAGTACATGTTTCCAATCAACTAAACCTCCATCACCATCCTGCCCTGGTATGTCCGGACGAAGGATAAATCGCGGAATTGAGATGTCCTTCTCACTTGTCCTACAGCCTATCCTCCCCATGAAAGCTGGCATCCGGAAGTCATACACGGTGACCGGACCTTCGTGATCGTCGGGCAACACATCATTCTTAGGCTGCACACCACCTATGCCGAACTCGTCCATGTCCAGATCGGACCCATCATCGGAAAGTTCGTCCAATGCATTGTCAGGAACGTACGAGTCGGAGTGATCAGTGATGAGCAGGCGCATTCCGGTTTCCGTGTCCTTCGCTGCCATGTCAATAAAAGTCTGCGCTCGTATCCGAGCAGAAGTCAAGTTGTTCCCAGCGGGCAGGGCCATTGGTCGGGTCGTAACAGAGCCGTGGGAGCTACGGGGAAGGCTGTAACGGTCTGGCTTGAGCAGTGCTTGCCCGCGTGGTATCGGCTGGCATACAGCCTGGAGGACTCCCGGGGGTTCTATATCCGAGGGTGCTCGCAGTGCTTCAAGACGAGGGAAGCCCACGGACAGAATACTCTGAGCTAGATGAGAATTCGGGGACTCTGTATGTCGCGGTGGTTTCACAAACGGAGCGTAATCGAGCCTGCCGAGCCCGGCGGCAGAGTCGGGTCCCGTAACGTCCCAATGCAAATATCGAAGCGTCGAAGAGGCGAAAAGCGGTTGAAAGACAATCCCATCGGCGTTCAGCGTAGGGTTCTTGTTGCTCTGGACGAACTTGAATCGTTCCAACTGTCTCAGTGATGACAAGATTTTCGAGATCGTAAGCAACGAATCGATATTTTGTTCGATAAGGGCCAGGGTCTTGAGGGAGCGAGACTCTGGACGCATGGAAAATTGGCAGAGCCCTGAATCAGTCACGCCCGGGAGGTTCTCCAAGCGGAGCGATTCGAGCGACGGTAGACACAGAAGCGCGCTGTCCGCAAAGGCAT